AATTCTGCTAAATGCACATCAAAATCTGTCTGATTTATCAAAAATCTGCCAAATTTCCCAGAATTGCTCGAAATACACTACAAACACTTAAAATCACGTGCAGTATTGCCTTAATTAAGATTCAAAATACATAATAAACAATCTAGTCACATAAAAATGTTGTGAAATTATTGGTAAATTTCGGGCAAAACGCGGATCCGGCCACAACGAAGTCCGTTTCCCAGCACCTACACCAGCCAACCTGTCCCATTATGCAATTGTTTGTTTGAAAGGATTGAAGCTTTTACCTTTTTTGTTCAAATTTGCTGTTTTTCATGTCATATAACCATTTTTTTGCAGAATTCTGCCAGAAATCTGCCAAAAAAATCCATTCTGTCAAATTTTCTGTCAAACTCGTTTTTTTAACAAAAATTCTGTCAAAGTTAGCCGAAAATCAGCTAAAACGGTCACCCTGCCTGCAACGAAGGCAAATATCATTTGTCGTTGTTCGTACCATGTTACTTGTGGTCTCGACTACAACACTGGTGAGAAAAACCCAGATAAGACCATCTCAAATCATTTTAAGAATAATTATTTGAATGTCGGTGAAGAAGTCTCTTTGCTTCAGCTGTCGTCATGGTGTCTCGACTCGACTACAACAACACCGGTAAAAAAACAAACAAATAACACCATCTGAAATTAACTTGAAACTGATTGAAATGTCGGTGTAGGAGTCTCCTTGCTCCAACGATCGTGACTTCTCATCGTCATGGGCGTCGCGAGGGGGGGCACTTGCACCCCCCCCCCCCCGAAAAGCAAAAAAAAAAAAAAAAGAAGAGGCGCGAAGACAAAGTGGTGTAAATTTAATGAGTTGGGAGGGGGCAACATGTCCCTGCCCCCCTCTAAAACTGATAAATCGAGAATGTGTTGAGAAATACAAGCATTTTTTTTTTTTTTTGCTTTTGTTGTATTTCTAATAGAGTTTGTTATTTTCTAATGCAGTTGTTTTAGTGGGTTTTTTTAATAATAGATTGGGATTTCATTCTTTTCTGCTTTGAATAAGCTCTCGGAAAATGAATAATATAGCCTACGAATGGTATGGCGTTTTCATCATAGCTTTGCGACTTCGTGGTTTGATAGGCCAAAGTTTGTTTGTGCGTTTTCTTTATGGAAGCAAGATTGGTAGGGGAAAATTCAATTCACGTATATGCCTATGTGTATATTACACGTGACAAATATACCTATATTAATATACGTTCATACTCTCTGGGTGATCCCCGTTTGCTATATTCCAGGTTTGCAGCATGGCTAATGTTGTTAGTACAAGGTGAGTAAAAAAAGGGAAACCCTAATGTCGGTACTAATGTTTTAGTGAAGTTCTGCATATTGCACTTTCAAAATCTAGGATATAAAAGCCCAATGCATAAGCTTTCTTTTAGTAGAAGAATCATTCAAATCACTCGTGTGCTTTTGAAGTTACGGAATTTTAAACACAACCACCGTTTTAAAATTTGTCCACTTATAAAAAAAAAGGGTGTGCGTTCTTTCAGCAAAACGAAACAATTCACATACATCCCTATGTATTTTTTTTTCGTTTTGCTGAAAGAAAACAATTACTTCATGTTGATCTGTGGACAGAACTATAACACGGCGGTGAGGGGGCAGCAGGGGGCGGGTTGAGACGCGGGCACTCCCGGCCAGAGGCAAGGAGGACGCGGTGTGGGCCGTCCGGGCTCGCTGCGGTGCAGAGGGCCTCCCGGTCCCCAACGGGGGGAAGGTGGTTGAGTTGCTCGGCATGATTTCTCTGGTCTTTTCTCTCCGCTAGGCCTTACCTATGTTTTGATCGATTCCCATTCAAATTCCTAACTGGGTCCTGATTACCCATCGGCTTCAGAGATGAATTCGAACCCATGTTAGTTATCCATTGGTTTGAATATCAAAGGCACAAGTCTTGCCATTCTTATAATATAGACTCCACTGCCAAGGCCTACATCGATCCAGACGTACTGCAGATTATGCAAATAGGTTTGAAGTTTTAAAATCTCCACCCTTAGGCCTACATGATCATATCTCTCAGCTCGTGCTCTCGAACTTTTGACTTTTCTTATCAAAGGCACACTTTCCACTTGCCAGGACCACTTTAATTTCCAATGTGTAAAAGCCAAAGTGCTGTTGACTCGCAGTTAAACACCTTCGAAGCTTCACTAATAAACTTTCGTCCATTGCATGATTATTTCTCACATCTCGAGATCTCAAACCTTCTGGTACCATATTTTAAAAGGGGGCGCTATTCAAATTCGACAATTATTAACCCTAGATTACAGATTGGTGTACCGTATTTTGAACAGGCGGACATTATACCAGAGTAATTTCTGTTTGGGTGTCACAGCAAGGCGGGGGGGGGGGGGGTTCGCATTATTTTTTAGGAATTTGTATGATAATTATTTTTATTTTTTTGACAGAGCTGGGTTTTTTTTTGACCCCCAAATCCCTCCCCTGGATCCGCGCCTGCCACAAACAACTCTCAAATCTGTAAACTGTATACTTCGATATCGGCTCAGTTTGGCCGTGCATTCAACATACGGCCCAAGGGCGGGCATACAAGCGCGGACCGAACAGAAACGCGTGCTCACGGGACCAGCCGGGTTAAACTTCTGATGTATACTCTTCCACCCTCTACGTCGCTGGCGGTACAAATGGTAACCTGCTTTCTTACCCAGACTTTTTGTGCTATGAAAATTGTTGTGCTTATACGCGTTAATCCATCACCGCTCAGGGGATACAACGTTATTTCACTTTGGGTAGAATTTCCGGCTTTTTAAACAGCGACAGGATACTAGTGTACAGATCCGGCCGTGCAAGATTGACGGGATGTGTTGGTGTTGTCCCGTGCTGCCACATCAAAACAAAAGTTGCTGACTGTCTGGTGCTAGGAAAGTGGGTTTGGTCATAGAGCAAGGTTAAATATTGATATTTGGCAAATGTCGGTTCTGTGTAAAGTTGTATGCTATTCATAAATACCTGTTTACGCATTCATACTGGTCGAGAGCCAGTCACGTGGCCGGTTTTAAACGGTTGGTAAAGACCGGCTGACACTTTTCCAGTGTCACATAGAATGTGGACTCCTATGAAATCCAGTGCGTTTTACCTTTTTATTGGTTGAACGTTCACAATCTTCACGTAGGCATGCGCAATACTACCAGTGAGTCAGTATTTCATTGTCCTAAATTCACAACACACCGGCACAGCTGCCGCCACAATTTATTACAGCACATAATAAACAAAACAGCCACAGCATACAAAACATGCAAACACTCTTTACACAAATTTATACTGCTGCATGCGTCAGCGGCGATACGGAACCAACTCAAATTTCAAAGGAATAACAAATTTGTTAGCCGAAATTGCATGCCTTTGTAACCAGGCAACTAATGTATACTAATAAACATAGCCAGGTTTCTAAAATCTAAAGTGATTCCGTTCATTATGTTGTTAATATTAAAAAAACCGTGTCATTTAAAATAAAATCAGTAAATTTCTGTGAGTAGTCGCAGATCAACTTAAATAAAGCGAAATAGTTCTTCGAACAGCCTGCAAAAAGTACAGATTAATACAATTAGAAGTCACAGTAACCAGTCCGACCAATTGTCTCTTTAGTTCTAAATGACTATGTACTAGTATAACGTTACCATGACAAGATTGAATCAAACTCTTTTATTTACTAAGTCTATGCAACTAAAATCTAAAGGTTAAAGACTGAGGCAGTACAAAAAGCCAAACTGTTGCCGTTAATAACAAGTATGAAAACGTAAGCTTTTAGCCAACGCAAACATACTGACTTGTCAGGGTAGATGTTGATGTTCCTATTTAATTCAGTTGATAAATTAATCAATATATTTTGACCTGTCATCATTTTTGTTTGAAATTAGGCGTGTTAGTTTAATTGGATATTTTGCATTGACGCATTCCATAAACCTGAATGCTGAGTACATTAATTTTGATCATTTTTTCAAGGCTTAGCCATTTTGACAACTTTTCACTTTCTTAATGTGTATGGAGTGTTACTTACATCTTCTTGAAAACATTTACATAGAATTATTCAGGAAACAAGTAAAAATAAACCTGTTAAACCTGTATACAAGTATACATTCGTTAAAGTTTGTGTTCAGTATACTCTGATAATGGATAATTGGCAGTTTCGAATATTTTGAAATATATATATAAACATTCCGAAAAAAATTAATAAATCGTATTAATTTTCTATCAATTTCCATATTTTGGATTGTAAAGTTTTTCAGATACTTACTGTAGTTTATGACGAAAAAAGTCTCCTGAAGAGTTACATTAACAGGTGTAACAATAGTTACTTACAAAGTTGCGTTCTATCTTAAGAAAATACCTCAAAGCGCTGTACATTAAGAGAAAAAAATATTTTAAGAAAAACGAACACTTCTTCAAATGAAAAATATTATATTAGTAAGAAAAAAAATTTGTAAGGCTAATCCAAAATAATGGATATATCTTGTAAAAAAAGCTTTATATGTATTTAATACAAAAAGGCTAATTATTATGCAGTTAAAATTGATTGAAATAAGTTATACATGCATGCTCTTCCATTTTAAAATCGTTTAAATAAAGAGAACTTTATAGTCAATTTTTGAGCATCTAAATTTGTTGATTGTGTTCCAATTTTGTCAGTAGACGTTACTCACAAGTCGGCCAGATTAAATTGAACGCGAGGTAAACTCTTTATTTTTAGAACTTCTGAGCAGAATTGAAAGCAATGAAATAAAAGCTAATTACAAATTAATACCAGTCGGCTTTGACGCTCCAATCATAAAATAGTCTGGCACGATCCCATTCAATAGATTACACTTTATAGAATAGATACGGGGAACACGATCAAAAATGGCTTTCTAGCGAATAAGGTCTATAGATTGAGCTACGTTTGTCGTTTATAGTATGATACATTGTACTTTCTTTACACCTTATAGGTGTTTCCTTTGTCTTTTGGACCCTGCTTAGTTTGCTTCCACGGCCTTTTCCAGCAAAGCGGCTGTAGTTATGCCTCCTAAGATATCCAGCTGAGAGATGGTCACTCCCAGCTGGTTGGTCGCCCAGTTCACCATCTCCAGGGCAACCAGTGAGTCCACGCCGTAGTTTACCATGGGCTGGCTGACGTCAATGGATTCCTCCTGCATGCACAGAAGTTCAGCCATCTTGGATTTGACGCTGGCTTCCAAGTCGGCAGAGTCAAGGCAACAAGCCTCTCCACTTGAGGACTTGGAGTTGTGGGCTGCTAGGTGGTGGAATTTCAGCATGTGTTTGTAGCAGAATTGTTGTGTGGCTCCCCAGTCCTGACGGTGAGTAAAAATAAAAACACATCAAGCATCATCAACATGAGGCAAATGTTTATAACCGTTCCAGCAAAATAACGAAAAAGACAAAGGTTTATGTACAATTCTAGCTTGTTTTCGCTTTTTGTTTAGAATATTTTCAATAGAAAGTGCAAAAACGTTTCTGAAATTTGGGAAATATACAACTCCACTTAAAATCAATTCTTTCAACAACCCAGTAGTTTTCAAATACACTTCTTTTTCAAGGTTCATTTCAAAGTAGTTTCATTTATTTTTGCATGCTTTGAAATAATAACAAAATGTGAAGAATGTTCGACTCCTCATCGATAAAAGAAGAAAAATGTTTTAAAAAGGAGACATAATTATGATGCACTCACCTGGTTTGCTAGGCAGACGCATGGCAGATCCTTCCGTGGCAGCAGCTGACCCAATACGCCAAGGAACTCATCCACGTACAGCTGGTGCTTCCCCTTCATGGCTAGAACCTTGACAGTCTCCTCCTTGTCCTCCAAGTACCCAGCTCCTTTAATGGGAGCTAATTGAACCGACAATGCAGGTAGTCCGCTTCTTTGTCGCTTCTCAGCCAAAGCGTCAAGGTATGCATTAGCGGCGCAGTAGACAGGCTGTGCTTGATGACCCCAGGTTGTGGAGATTGAAGACAGCATGAAGAAGATGTCCAGTTTGTCATCCTGTGTCAGCTCATGGAGGATTCTAGCCCCTGTTGCTTTGGCACCAAGGATTCGTGCCATCTGATCAAATGTTATCTCCGATAGATCTTCCTCCTCGATGACTCCTGCTAGGTGGAAGATGCCTCTGAGTGGAGGGACTTGCTTGTCATCTCGAAGCTTGTCCAACATCGCTGCTACGCTGTTTTTGTTGGATATGTCAAGTGAAAACTCGTAGAGGTTAACCTTGTTGCGTTTCAGGTAGTTCACTGTTCTCTTGGCAGCTGCTGTCTGAGCTCCTCTTCGTGAGATGAGCACCATGTGTTTGGCACCATTCTGGCATAGCCATCTGGAGAGAGCCTGTCCGATGCCACCGAACCCACCAGTGATTATGTAGGCAGCATTAGATCTGAACTGGTTCAATGATGGCTGTAGCTCCTTTGGTTGGAAATCTTCTGCCACTTCAAAGACCATCTTACCGATGTGCGCACCCTTAGACATCATTCGGAATGTTTCTTTTAGTTCCTTGATAGGATGGACTGTAACTGGAATAGGCTTCAGCTTCTCATTTTCAAACAGACTAACGACCTTCTGCATTATTTTCTTCACTACTACTGGACTTTGCTTCATCAAGACATCTACTTGGCAGGAATTGAAGACCTTGTTCTCCAGAAAGAACCCCATACTTAGACTAGAGCTCTGCAGGATGTCCCTCTTGCCGATCTCACAAAATCGTCCTCCTGGACCCAGAAGGGATATTCCTGTGTGAAGCAGTTTACCCGACAACGAGTTCAAGACCACATCTACTCCCTTACCATTGGTCCACTCCATGATGTCATCATAGAAACGGGAAGATCTGGAGTCGCTGACCATCTCAATGCCAAGCTGCTTCTGTAGATAGTTCCTCTTCTCCTGTGTACCTGCAGTGCATATGATCTTGGCTCCAATCATTTGTGCAATCTGAATGGCCGCAAGACCGACTCCCCCACAAGCTGAGTGAATCAAGACAGTTTCATCCTTTTGCAGATTAGCTCGTTCCACCAGGCAGAGGTACGCAGTCACAAAAACCACACCAATACTAGAGCTGTCTACGAAGCTGAGATTTTCTGGTTTCAAGACAGTCAACCTTCCATCACAGATGGCATGGCGACCAAAGCAGCTTTTCCCGAATGCAATTACCTCATCATCAATTTTCAAGCCATGTACTCCCGATGCAACTTCTTCGACTACTCCAGCACACTCAAGACCAAAGGATGGGTGTGTCTCACTCTCCAAACCCTCGAGAAGACCAAGTGCCATCATGACATCTTTGAAATTGAGAGGAGCGGCCTTGACTCTAATCTTGACATGGCCTGGTGTGACTTCAAAATCACGGACATCGTGAAAGGCAAGATCATCAACGGAAGCCCCTTTACCTACTTGACTTCTTAAATCCTGCTCCACACGCCACTCCACAGACTGGATCTTGTTTTTAGTGTTCAAGTCTTGATGCATTACCCGGGGAACGAACCTCTCTCTCCCTCGGATCACAAGCTCTCGCTCACCAAGATCGTGGTCATTCATCAGCTTGATCATTTCATGGACATTTTCTCCAAGAGAGTTTTGGGGGTCAAAGTCTACTGAGAAAATAGGCACACCTGGAATCTGATTGCTGACAGCCCGGGTCAAGCCAACAGCCAGAGAACCATTCGGAAGAGATGAATCCATGTTTCCTCCCCTTGTCACAACCCACATCCGCTTGACAACCTCTGGGTATGACTCAACTGCCTGGAAAATTTTCAACATGGCGTAAAGCTTGGAGTCTTCTTCACTGTAGATGTACATCAACTCTATTGGTGGATCAGTATGCTCACTGAACACTCGATCAAGAGACTTAGCCTCAGAGAAATTGCTAATCATGACCTCACCGTGGTAGTGAGGAAGGAACTCGGACGAGAACATGTTGTTGCCATCTCGTACTATGAAGAGCTTTTCTTGCTGGATTATTCTTCTTTGAACCCGTTCTGAAATTGAAGGCTTTCTTCCAACAAACACAGAGTGGAGAAACTCGTTTGGTGAGGACGCCGATGAGATATCTTTCAAGCCAACCTTGTCCATGGTGTCTAACCAGCCCTGGTGATGCAGCCAGCAACGCTCCTTTCGGAAGTCATCAAACACCCAACATACATCCAGGGCCCCAAACCAAAGTTCAGTCAGGTAGTGTGTGTTGGTTCCCTCCATGATGAAAATAAGCCCATCAGCACTGAGTAGGTCAGTCATGAAAGCCGTGCTTCGCTGAACATCAACCGCTGCATGTAGGGTGTCCAGGCAGAATACAACATCAAAACTGCCAGGAACAAACCCTTGGTCTCTGATATCTTTCTCAATATCTAGCTGTTTGTACTGGACGAACGGGAATTCTTGGAGATTCCCCTGAGCTTGCTGGAAGAAGGTGGCACTCACATCGGTGAATACATACTCCATCTTTTTCTCAGTCCCCAAATCCTTCAGTGGATCAACGATGAAGCGAGTCAAACCTCCAATCCTAGCTCCAAGTTCCAGAACTCGGACAACCTTCTTGTGCTTAGCAGCTTCTTGGACAGCCCTGACAACTGCTTCAGCTCCAGCTTTGTAGTAGATTCGTGTGCTGAGTGAATCATAGAAGTACCGGTCCAGTCCTTCAGCACAAAACATGAGAGGAACTGCAACCTGTGGGTCACGAAGAGTGTCAGGCAAAGCCCCACCAAGACTCTTAATTAGGCTAACCTCTGAGTCTAACTCAGGAACATGTCCGATGATCTTTTCCAACACTGCCGGAATATCTTTGTAGTCGATTATTTTGCTAGTAGCATTTTCAGCGATGGCTTGGAATCGGTTGATGTACTTAGTGTAGCTCTTACCCTGTGCCCTTTCGGCAGGTGGAACTGTGTTCAGGGCATTTCGGATGTACGACACACACACCCCCTCAATGTCATCAATTACCTCTTCTGTTCGAGCAAGAGCGTCCATCTCATCCCCATATTGCTCACGCAGATTGCCTTCATCAAATACGTCGTTCAGAACTGATGTTGGCAGTGACTTGGCCGTTGCTGGTTGCCAGTGTGTAGTGTAGATGCATGATTCGATAGGTACGTCTGACTGGTTGCCATTGAAGTTCTGCGCCCGGAAGCCCTTCAAAGTTGCCAAGATGTTGCCTTGTTCAGAAGCCATGGTGATATCTGCTGTGAGGATCATACTGTCACAGTCGATAATTCTGGTGTAGGCGATAATGGGTTGTCCTGATGGAATAGCCTCTTTGGATAACTCGAAGTAATCTATGTGCACTGGAAGGTACATTGCACTTTTTGAACCCACAGCAGACAAAGCCAGTTGGAAAGTTGCATCCAGATGAGCCACTTGAACTCTCTGCTTGTTGTTAGGAACTGCATGCAGAACAGCAAGCGCCTCGCCATCACCTAGGAACATCTTCTCCACCATCTGGAAAGCAGGTCCGTAGCTGAGACCTACGTCTTGGAGCCTAGAATAAAACTCCTCACCAATGACTTCAGTAGAGCACCTCTCTTTAATTTCCGCAAGAGGAAGACACTCTTCCACATCTGTTTTGCTGGAGACAACAATCTGAGCGTTGCTGTGTAGATTTCCATCACAGGTAACCTGCATTGCTGCCCCATCTTTCACGAGCCCAAGTTTCAGGGTGCACTTCTTGGAGTCTGAGTCTTCAGGCCATGGCAGGACACGTGTGAAGTTCATGTTCTTTAGAGCCGGCTTTTCAGTTTCCACAAAACTCATCTGTGTCATGTACTCAATGTAGCCAGCTCCAGGGAATACGATTCTCTCACCCACAACATGATCAGCCAAGAAGGGGAACATCTCTAGGGAGAGGTTACCACTCTGTCCTTTGAAGGTACGATCATCCAAACCAAGGCGACGCTTCTGTCTCTCCTCTGTCTCCAACCAGAAAGACTGGTGCTGCCATGGATACGTTGGAAGCGGTGCCCACTCAGCTGATTCATGAGTGATTGTTGCCCAGTTTAGAGGAACTCCATTTGTATAGAGGGTTCCAGCTGCTCTTTGGATACTCTGCAGATCATCTTTGTCTCGCAGGCTCGAGTTGACAGTGACAGGTGGGTGTTTGGGATCCAAGCCACGGGCAATCTGTTTTACCGAGGACAACAGTGTATTTGAGGCAGCAACCTCAAGGAAGACATCTGCCTTTATCTCCTGCAGAACAGCTTCAATTGCAGGCTGAAAGAGTACTGCACCTCGGATGTTGCTCCACCAGTAGTCAGTGCCAAAACTGCCGTCGTAGTATTCGCCAGTCACGGTGGAGTAGTAGGGTACATCTCTCTTTCCAGGTTCACTCTTGACAACACCTTCCATGGCTTTGGAAAATGGCTCCTTGATTGGATCCATCTCCGGAGTGTGAAAAGCACAAGTCACCCGGAGCTGCTTGGCCTTTCCAGGATTTTGCTCAACCACAGCAGCTATGACATCTCTGTTGCCAGCTAAAGTGATTGCACCAGGTGCATTAACTGCTGCTATGTAGAGATTCTGGTACTCCCGACAGATCTTCTCTGCCTGTTCTTTGGTGGCTCGCAGTGCAGCCATTCTACCTGTTCCCTCTTGCTTTGCTTGTTCGTGGCTTCGGTGATAGATGACAGCCACGGCTTCCTCTAGCGTCAGGCCACCACTTGCATAGGCTGCAGAGATCTCACCAAGGCTGTGTCCCACAACAACGTCAGGATGCACTCCCCAGTGCCTCCATAGATGATAGAGTGCGACCTGGATGAACATGATGGCAGGCTGAATGACTTGTACTTGACCGAGTGCATTGTTTACAGATGTATAGGAAGAGATGTCTGGATTGATTGGATGGCTGTTGAATAAGCCACAGTTATCAAGCAAGGACCATCCAGACATCTTTTTGAAGATCTGATCACAAGTATTAATGGTGTCCCTGAAAACCATCTCATCTCTGTAGAGTTTGCGGCCCATGTCCTCCCACTGCTGCCCTTGGCCAGGGAAAACGAAGCAGACCGTTGGCTTAACCTGGGGAGCTGTGCCAGTCACAACAGCTTCCGATCCAGACCCTTCCAGAAATCCCCCGATGCTCTCTCTAAAGGAGGCTGTAGAGTCAGCAATTACTGTCATTCGGTACGTATGATGGTCCCTCCGAGTTGCCTGCCATGAAGTCATGCTTAGGGCATCACTGTCGCAGTTGAACTCCAACCACTTCTTGGCAAGATCGTTCAGAGCCTCTCCAGATTTTGCAGACAGCGGCAGGATTATTGGGCGTCCAACACTATCGCCACCCAACTTCCAGCCAGCCGATGCCGTCTGCACGGTGCTTTTGTCTGTTTTCGGCCTCTTCTGGAAGATCATGTGAGCAACTGCGCCGGCGAAGCCAAAGCTATTTAGGCCAACTGTGTAGGTGTCATCTGTGTCACCAGGGTTGGTGTCCAATTGCTCCAGTTTTGTCTGGACTTCGAGGTTGAGTTCTTGAAGGTCAATATTAGGGTTGGCATTGGAAAAGTTGATGGTAGGAACCAGCATATTCTTCTCCAACATGAGAGCCACTTTAATGGCAGCTGTGATCCCAGCAGCACACTCGCTGTGCCCGAAGTTGCTCTTCACAGATCCTATTTTGACTGGGGTATCCTTGAGTTGGCCAAAGGTACGCCCGATAGCACCTGCTTCGATGGGATCGCCTACAGGAGTCCCAGTCCCGTGAGCCTCCACGTACTGAACAGAAGATAGTGGAACTCCTGAGCGTGCATATGCATTCTTCATCACCATCTCTTGGGCGGGAGCTGAGGGCATAGTGAGACTCTTGCTGAAACCATTTGCTGCGATGGCACTTCCTCGGATGACGGAATAGATATGGTCGTTGTCTGCCAGTGCCATGTGAAGTGGTTTTAGGATGAAGACGCCCCATCCTTCGCTTCTTACGTAGCCCTTGGCCGTGTCAGAGAATGGACAACACTTTCCTTCAGGTGACAGAACGCCCAGAGCACTGAAACCAACCGTAAACTCAGGGATGAGTAGACTGTTGCAACCTCCAGCAACAGCAGTTGTACACTCGCCGTCCCAGATAGCATTGCAGGCACTGTGCATAGCTGTCATAGACGAGGCACAGGCGGTGTCTACAGCATAGGAGGGGCCGCGGAGGTCGAAGGCGTAGGAGATGCGATTGGCGACGGCAGAATGTGCAATACCGGTGTGAGTGTAGGGGTTGATGAGTGATGTCTCCATCAGCATAATTGGGTAATCCATCATGCCAACACCGATGTAGACACCGCAAGATTCTCTCAAGGTGCTTGGGATGATGCCTGCATCCTCAAAGGCTTCGTAGGTAACCTCAAGGATGTGGCGCTGCTGGGGGTCCATAGAGCTAGCCTCACGAGGTGAAATCTTGAAGAAGGTGTTGTCAAACTTGTCTATGCCATGGATGAAGCCACATCGCTTAGTCACCATCTTACTATGGTTGGACTGGTCAGGATCATGGAAGGTTTCCAAGGACCATCTATCTGGAGGTACCTCACTAATCATGTCGTCACCCCGTACCAAGGCATCCCAGAATGCTTCTGGGGAGTTGACACCTCCAGGCATGCGGCATCCTGCAATAAATCAACGTCACTAAATTATTCCATATGTAGCGTTACCATTGCAATACATGTAGATATATTTTGGTTTTTGCTAAAGTGTATGTTACTGTTTGTTATTTGATGTTTTCTGCTCAAGTCCCTTTTACTTCTTACTTGAAAGAGCCATTCTATACATTTTTCTTTCATTTGAACTTATATAATTTTATGTCGTGCAAGTTACAATGAAGTTAAAATTACAAAATTGTTCGAACACAAGACAGGTTTACGCTTTGAGGTTGAAATCATGATAGTGTGTATTTAATTGTTTACCGCAACGTAAAAGCGAGTAATGCATGTTCAAGAAACGTACCCAAGGAAAATCAATAGCTTTAACCAGCATTCATGAGCTTGAATTTCTAACATACGCAGTCATGCAATCACATAAAAAAAAAACATTTGAAATTAAATGCAATTAACAACAATAGTAACCTGAATCCTCCGATCTTCGTGTGACTTTTTACACACCCCTGGGAGGTACAGGAAAAGTGGTTTCCGAGATAAAAGCCATGATGTGCTCATCAAAATGGGCATGATGTTGAAATCAAACCCAGAAATTGTACAAAAGTACCAAATATGAGGTAAAGATGACAGCATCAGACGTGCATACAATTACAAACAAAATTGATATGGTATTCTTGAAATGAGCTGTGATTCTCTGATGAAAGGGTCTACAGAGGATGTTCAATGTAAATAGTTGATTATTCTCTTTTTAGTTTATTCATTCATTGAAGTGCTATATTAAAGAACCCTCGATCTCATTTCCAATTGGTCACACTGCTAACACTGCTATGTGAGGGACAGATCTATCTTTTTTTCCCGATAATGCAAGGTTTTTTTAATTGTTTGAATTTGTTTCCTCCTACAATTTCGTGTCATATCCATATCTAACACTCACCAATGCCAACAACTGCTATCGGGGGTTTTGCCGAACCCGACGACCGTTCCATCTTTGCTGAACCCGACGACTCTTCCATCTTTACCGGTTTGCTGTGCATCTTGATGTCGCAGTGTTGTCTAGTTTTCGATGAGATGCCGGTTGAAGTTGGAAGTCACTGCGGTCAAAGAAGGTTGCTCAACAACTAGGGTATACGTTGAAAGAAATAAGCTGAATCTTCCTGCTAGACAAAAAGTATATAGATAAGTTGAGAATTTCGAAAGGAAACATTACATTACACCACATCTACACCATATATGCTCTTCAGGTCTTGTATGGTATAGAGCGTCAAAGTGGGAAGCATTTCGAATTTTTTGACGGTTCAAAAATGTTGTGCCAGTAAGTAAAACTTTCCTAGCCAGAAACGAAATGTTAAGCTTTGGGATAGCAGCTCAACAAATCCTCATGTCTCTCTTTGGTCTGTTAGTTGGTTAGTTAGTAACAAACGTTGTCATTGTCTGATGCTCCTACATATTTTAACCGATTTCAACCAAACGTTGTCAAAAGGATCGGTAGCCCAGCCCAGACATGTCACATGACCAAATTGGGGTCAAGGGTCATCATGGGGTCAACAATCTGAACACTATTCCCTCCAGAATTACATGGCACAATCATGTGACCCATGCATGAACACGAATTCGTTGACCCGCAGCTTCCGATATATTTCTGATCGAGTTTGTTAATTTCTGTCTAAAAGAATGGTGCTTAATTGGATGCAGAAAAGTGAAAAGTATTTTATTTAAAGTGGTGGTGTTCCTTTATAGCTTGACAGGGTCACATCGAAGGAAGCTGTGAACTTTCATTCATAAACGGTGTTCTGGACCGTCTGTCCAGTTTGCTTAAATAGCTCCATCTGTTGGCCAAATGTATAGCCCAATACTCACATGTACTTGTACGTGTCAATTTCACATGGTTTCCGGAATTTTGTGACTTAATTATTTAAGTCTTCGGATTAATTGTCACCCCTGTAATCGCCTGTGCAAGCATTGTCTGTTAGTTAATGTCATTTCCTTTCTCGTTATGTAGCTAAATTAAGAAATATTTTAGGGTTATTAAGATTTTTTTATGGGAACACAAGCCTATATGCTCAGCCATATCGGACGCACCGGTTAAAGGCATAGACAGACGTTTTACACGTACCCATCTTAAAACAAATCCGCGTGCTGTTATTCCTGCTATTATTTTTAATTCAAAGGATTGATGCAATCTATTAGATATACGTGTATAGGCACTCCTAATCATGACATGTTTTGAGATTGAAGATTATGAGGTGTTTAGGCCAACTTGGAACTGTGTATTTATAAGTGTTCGTAGCCTTATAATTATAGCAACACTACTTGGTGCATTTTTCTACTTCTTGTTAGGCCCCCAAAAAAGTCTCCGGTTTCTGGTGTGCGCGCGCGTTGCCCTAGCCATGCGCGTCGGCAAAATGAAAAAGTTTTTCAACGAAAGACGATGTCTCAAAACCGCCAAACTCACTTGTTTGACTGGAATCCTGCTGCTGCACAATTTTAACATGTTTTTAGATGGGGTTACGATCGAGTATAAGCTTTATGTGGCCTCTCTTGACTCCCATGTATTTTGCACTAAATTTAGTCTGGCACCATTTGCAGTCATCAGCCGACATTTGAAGGAAAAAAAAGTGGTGCAAGCTCCATACCAGAAACTAGAGACTTGTTTTGGCCTTAGGCCAAAAAAAATAATAAGTCGGTCTCTGGTCAGCGCGCGCGTCGATTTTAATCATGCGCGTCGATCTTTTTTTTTTCCAAAATGTTCCGCGGTAGCTCCAACAGCGCCCTCTATTTCCGCACCTCCTCATTTTTTTTTACCAAAGAGCACCAAGGAATGGGAAATTGCACCAAGGCAAATGATCGAAAGCACCAAGGCAAATTATGGAGGATACCAATGTACATGAGGACACCAAAAAAGCAAAATAGTACCCCACCTTGTCTTTACAATCCAAGCTAGAAGAAAAAAAAAGAAGCAAAAAAAGAAGAAAGAAAAGCCGCGTGGCCGCGTCAATTCCGGAACTTTGGTCTGACCAGAGACCGAATATTTTTTTTGGGCCTTATAGACAGTTTTTTCCACTAACGAGTGTATTAAACTTGGAGCGTGCAGGCTAATACCTGACCCTAGACTTGATGACAAGTCGTTAGATAGGCCTAGTCGTACTTTGTCCGTAAGCTTCAGTCGAACTCCATCGGCGCGGCTAGTAGTATAAGACTAGTACTACTCGGCCGGGTTGCGACCAATAAGCCATTTGCGAGTAACCTATACCCTATGGGATTTAAATGTGAAAAACATCTGGTACACTGACTTGCTCAGAATGCTTGGCACATTTTTACTTTGAATTCTCCAGACTAAAGACACTGTTTCTAATCACATGATTCGGGGCAAGCTCTTGCATAGTTACGTAAGAGACGCTCAGCACCAATACATTGTTCACAATGGGTGAGAATGGCACAAAGACACCAGACCATGCCGGAGCTGGGGGTTGCTAGCATAAGGCTTGCCCCGAATCACGTGATATAGTAACAGTCTCTTTGGTCGGGAGAATGCAAAGTTAAAACGTGCAAAGCATTGGATTAAGTCAGCATTCCAGATTTTATTCAAATTTAACTCGCAAATGGCTTATTGAACATCAATAGTCAGCATCATTTGGTCTGAGAACCAGACTTCGCGCATTGCAGAGATATTTTACGTGCGTGGAGCCTGCAGTAACCGGTACCGTATACGTAAAACGATTACCGACTTGGCACCAAGTCCAACCTGACCCCCGCCCTCGTCTTTTTTTTTTGGATAGGATTTTGGCAGGCTGTCAAACTTCGGTTCAAAACACCTTAAAACATGACAGTACAATCGCTGAATCGTTGTTATGCTGATAACTCAGTTCTGGATCACAATACTCGTTTTTGTTATTTTGATTTCAATAAAATATTCTCGATTTTGAATTGGTATTTATGATAAAACGTCAAAATTGAGGCATTATGTTTTTGCATAATTTTATCATGATATTTCCTCCATAAATCTTTTTAAAAAAAATGGTAATAACGTTTTGATAATATCGCTTTAAACCTGACAAAATGTCCAATTGGAGGCATTTAAGTCGCGTTATCAATTTATGATAAAACGTCAAAATTGAGGCATTATGTTTTTGCATAATTTTATCATGATATTTCCTCCATAAATCTTTTTAAAAAAATGGTAATAACGTTTAAGTCATTTAAGTCGCGTTATCAAAATGTTTTTGTATAATTATATCATGATATTTCTATATAATTATTAAAATGTTATTGCGAACGGCTTAGATATAACATAGTTGCGACTTTACAAAAATGTTTTCACAACATTATGTATTTGCTGGGGACAAACAGGGATCATCATCACAAGACTGTGGGTGCAAGTTAAAAGGTATTAATGAATTATTTATTTATTAACGTATTAATTCATTTAATATATTTTATTTTGCACCCCCCTCCCCAAAAAAAACCCAGAAAACTTTGGAAAAATGTCAAAGATGTCCTAAAACAGTAGCTTCAAGTTTTGCCTCGCCAATTTTGATCGTAAAGCTGAAGGGTTCTCAGCCTCTTACTTGTTCCAGACATCAGACGGCTGTTGGCAGTTTGAGCCAAAAAATGAACGTGTCAGATTTAATGGGCGTTTTTTTTAAATGTATAGAAATTACATTAGCTAAACAGGAAACAGTCGTATACATTGCCAACAGTGCTTTTCCCTCAACGTTTGCAAAGCTGTATGTAGTTACTACGAACAAAATACTGTCCATTTACAATTTAAGCAGATATATGCCTACACAGATCGTCTAAATACTGTACAACCAAAATACAACTTGCCCATCGGAACTGAACGCAAGTTCAACGGACACAACAGTTGTTCATAGAATAGGCAAAAATACGTGGGGGGGGGGGTTGGGGGGGGGGCAAAAATTATCAAGATATCAATATAAACACAATACCTTAAAATATGCATGACATGATATTGATACCCTTTAATAAAAAAAATCATGAAGGGACAATAATGACTAGGGTTTATCGTAGATCCCTTCCTGCCTGTATTATGAAACGCCTACTTTAAAAGCTATATACAACACTTGCTTTTGCTGTAATTTTCCGAAATGGGTGGATTTTGGTGTCAGTTTTTTATAGCACATGTTATTAAAGCGACCTGTTTCAAGTTTTGTGCTCATAAGTTGTGGGGAAAAAGTCAAAAGCGAGGTTCTTGTGGCATGATTTCCTGACCTACATTTCAGATGAAACAGAGTAATTTAGTAAGTTTGGGGCTAGGCAAGGATTTATCGGTCTACTGAGTTTTTATGAGGGAAAACTTGCAGAGAGTAAAACATGAATAGCTTTTTTATTAAAACGAGACTACACTGGAATTGGCGTAAAGGATGACTAGTTTCAATGAAAGCCCGTCCCACTCCTATTGGGTTGGGGATGAGTGTGAACCTTGTTATTTGTTAATGCTGAGTACAGAAAATGCTAGCAACGTCAATGAAACTTTTAAATGAAAAGAAAAACCCCTCAGGGAAAAGGTATGAACTTGTGCCCCTATTGAAAGATCGAATGAAAAAAAATCCTGGCTAGCATAATCAACTTTGCCACCATTGTCATGGCCGAGGTTATTGCTTTCGGGTCAAAACTTCCATCATGGTGGAAATATCATAGACATGTCATGATTTTAGATACATATACCTTGAGAGAAATATCGATTCTGCACTGCCTGAAGATTTAGAAAATACCTCCTCTTGATATTTTACAGTGTATGTGCTAGACTTTCGAAGCGCCGCGCTTAGCCGCGGCAAAACTAGAAACGAACAAAACGAAGGAGATTTTGTAGAGCAAGCATAATGTATAGCGTAGCGGCGCAATTTCTTCGTCGTAGAACACTGCTGGCTGTAACACATTTTTGCCCGGCAGTATGGGGGTGCTGTAGTATATTCCAGCACCCCAATCCAAAAAGTTGGGGGTGCTGCAGTACCCACAGCATCCCCCCCCCCCCCCCCCGTTCCCGCGGGCTTGTTAGCAACAAACCTTTAGAGCCCAAATAATTTACATAAATCTACAATACGAATCTATAGTAATATACATTGAGTTGAGTACGACATCCAACAGCCGCCGGGTCAGTAATACGTACATTCTGCGTCCACAGTCCATTTGACTGACCCGACGGCTGTTGCATGTCCTAATCACTGCTTATGTGACGTCACTTATCTGCTCCTGGTATCCAGGTCCACCGCCAGGTAACCGTAAGACTATTCAATTCGAATTCCCCAATGTGTAAACTTTCCAAAAATACCCACCAAACACTTGGTCATTTCCAAAAAATAAATTACCCCTGGCTCTTGGACTATTAGGTCAGGGAACCGGACTACATGGTTTTCACCCATTCACGGATATGTAATCTCTTGCAAACAAAATGCGGTCTAACATTTGGAGAACTTTGGGGCAATATTTGAAAAAAAGTAATTTTTTTTTAACGATGGTCGGGCAACCATCGTTTGAAATTGATACAAAAATTCCACTTTTCTTGAAAGTTACAGCACACCGGGTTGCAATGATATCACAAGATGCTTGAGACTATTATTTGCTTTCGGTAAAGTAGGATATTTCATACAGTTTTGTTTTGCAAATGTTGTTTATTACATTTAAGAGTCGTGAATCATGACTTTTTCCTGGAAACATTCCGCAGTAATTTCAATATCTGAACGTCGCATACAATCTGTGGTCATGGACCATCATTTAGGAAACGTTTTGTTTTTTTAAATGAAAACAAATACCTAAAGTCTATTTTTTTCCAACGTTGGTCGGCCAACCAGCGTTGGAAATTGATACAAAAATACCTGTTTTCTTGAAATTGTCAGCAAACCAGGCCATGATTTTACGGCATGCTTTAGACTGTCATTCACTAACAGTCTTAAGATGTTTCGTGATAATTTTTTTTTTCATGTTTGCAAACATTGTAGTGACAAATATCTGTTTAAACGACCAAAAAAAGAAATTCTATAAGAAAGTATACCATTCAGATTGAAAAGCAGAAATAATGATTCTGATGTGGGTAAGAATTTTGTATTTGATAAAACACTCCAAAATTACGACTGATAATTTGAAAACAAGTAATCTTTGAAATGTTCAAGTTATACTTAGGAAGCAACCCTCAAAATGTGGTACCATTACTTTTCGATCGCTGCGTAATCAACAATCACATCAATTTGAATCACATCAAGTTGAATCAAGTTGAATCACTGTATAGGCTATGCAGCGCGATTGCCGGACAAACGTGTTCATCGGTGTTCATCGGTTCTGATATAATTGGCCAGTTAGCTTTAACCCTAAAGGGGCCGGGGGGGAATCCGCCCCCCCCCCCTCAACATTTTCCGTGATAGCCTCTAAATAAAAAATGTTCGCGACCCGAGCTGTATTTGATAAAACACTCCAAAATTACGACTGATAATTTGAAAACAAGTAATCTTTGAAATGTTCAAGTTATACTTAGGAAGCAACCCTCAAAATGTGGTACCATTACTTTTCGATCGCTGCGTAATCAACAATCACATCAATTTGAATCACATCAAGTTGAATCAAGTTGAATCACTGTAAAGGCTATGCAGCGCGATTGCCGGACAAACGTGTTCATCGGTGTTCATCGGTTCTGATATAATTGGCCAGTTAGCTTTAACCCTAAAGGGGCCGGGGGCGGAATCCGCCCCCCCCCCTCAACATTTTCCGTGATAGCCTCTAAAAAATTTTTTTTCGCGACCCGAGCTGTTATGACTTTTTAGCCTCGAGCTTTGCGCATCTTTTGATACCAAAAACATAAAAATCGGACCACGGGTTGCCGCGTAGCGAAAAATTTTCCGGCGCTTCGCGCCGTGAAAACTGAATTTTTGCATATACGTCGTGTACACAGAGCAGAATTGCCATTCGTACATATGAATAATTAATAAGCCATAATTCCAAAACCCTTTGACCTATAGTCATGAAATTTCTTGGGTATGTTTAGGAAGAGTTGCTCTATGCATGTGCTGAGTTCCAAAATTTTTCGTCACTCGATGGCCGAGATCTTAGGGGGGGCGGAATCCGCCCCCCCCCCCCCCCCCGGCTGAGAGATGGTCAAAATAACCCGGCCCCTTTAGGGTTAAACAATAGTACAAATAAATGTCTGTTAACTGGAGTAAAAATAACTAGGACAACTAAGATTACTAACTCAAAAGAAATCTCGGACGATAAGTAGGCTTCGTGAGACCCCAGACCCCAATTCTGAAGGACATTTTGGTAACATTTATCAATCAATGTGGTCAATAATGAATTTATCACATGCACGTATTACGCTTCAAAATTTCAACAGCGAGTTCATAACCATAGCGTATTACTACATGATTTTTGTTCTGTTTCCAAATGATGCATTGTGTATATCTTGTTTAGATTTTCGATTTAGTATGATCTAATTGGAATCTTGAGGCAAGCGGGACCTAGCTAACAGTGCCGTTTATGAATAAGCACCACACTTTCCAAGTAAGGTATTGTATACAAAGGACAAAAGAAAACACAAAGCATTGTCCTCGTCAGTATAGTAAAACAGAGTGCGTGTCCGGTTCGTGTGCACACATGTACATTATGCAGTTAGTCTGCACACAGCGACCTGGTACATGGTACCCTGTAGAGGCATGTGCATAATAGGGAACAGAGGATTGTACACGTCTCCACAGATCAATTTCTATAGGTGAATACGTCTCCACAAGGTTATCACGAAATAGATATAGATTTACTCAAAAACTAGGATTTTCCAAGGTGTGTTGATCCATCGCAAATTGAAGTATTTTATGTAAGGGATATTAAGTCCGAATTTCAACCCAGGAAATTAGTTTTGGTTAAAACAGGAGCATTTTGAAAGCTCAAGTTCAAACTCAAGAACTTTGGTACACAAGAACAAAGTAATGATTCCACAAGGATAAAAGAAAATTCCAGTATGTGTGTACATCAGTACTAAAAGCATCGTCGTAAAGGAACTAATTTGTTATAGGGCGATGCTCAATAGGTGGAGGTACCCATTCACTGCCAGCGAACAGGGTGTGGTAGGCCTATTTCTGCCCAAGCGGTTTCTGATATTAGGATAATTGTCCGAAGTTGCAGTGTGTATTGCTCGCTGTTGTTCGAGATCACCAACCATTGCGCTCTATTCTAGAAAATCAATTTGCTGCAGCTAGTATTTAGTTGTTGTTTGGAGACACCTTCATTTGCAAATTCGTAGCCTCATCCAGCTGTGGGCTGAATTGAGACATCATTATAGGACTGGTGTCCAAACAAAGGCAGGTCGGTGACATAGGGATTGAGAGAAGTTTCTGCAAAAGTAAAACAGCCTTTTGCAGTTCATTAAGCACGCGTAAGAGCCAATACTTGCAAAAATCAAACACTATAGTTTGGCACCATTTCAACTTCACGTTTGGATTGTATACAATGCCAAAACTTATGAAATATACAGTTACAACGCATCTATAAAAGTTCAGCAATATTTCATGAAACACATTACAATATACTTTACCTGAACTTGCGACAGATCACTCGGTCAACCGATGAATAACTGTGGAATGCTCCGCTGTTTTCCAGTACTGTTACTGTTAGATCGGGCAGGACATTTCCATCCTCCCTTTCCTCGATTGTCTCCCCGTCGAATAATGATCGGAGGACAACTTATAGCGCCTTTTAAAACTATTCCGAAGGAAGCAGGCAGACGACAGCCGGTGCGCGCTTCTTGACCAATCAGAGCTGACATCCTCCTGCTGACTTCACCAGAGGTCAATTTGATTGGTTGTCGGTGGGGTCATGCTTACGTGCATGATTACGTGGTAGGTCATCCGGGAACTTGCATGGTACTTCCCCTCGTCCTGTGACGATCGATCGTAGCTCGTATGTGTTGTATTGTCTCTCGTTATTGTAGTATGAAGAAACGCCGATATTTACGCTGTTCCGGTTTTCTGGTGGTTCGGAGCAGCCAGTCAATGTTGTTAAAAAAAAAAATACGTATTAATCCCATATTTCGTAGAAAACCCCTACATTTTTAAAGTTTTATTTAACCTTACCAAATTCCCCCAAAATCTTCCCATATCCGCCCAAATGTCACTACATGCTATCTCACCATTGTTTTTGAAGCTTTTGATGGTCTTCGATCTCCTTTCCACTCAAGAACAGTATTTTTCAATCTTTTTGATTGTGAGATATCCGACGAGACTACTTCAATAATGTTTCCATCGACATTCCACAGAGTACGGCATACAGATTGGCGATGGCATTGTTCAATTGATGACAAAAGCATGGGGTTTGGCACACAGCAGAATACTTGTATATCATAAGAAAGACGAGTTTGCAATATGGCCATCGCAGATTTGTCCTTTGAGAAAAATATTATTACCATGCAATGACAGCCATTTTGAAAATTTAGAAAACTGCTTGTTATTCTACCTATATTTTGTCAAAGTACAACTTAATCTGCGATGACCATATCCTTTAGCTAAAAAGTTTCTCTAGGGCATGTTCTTACTGTGTACAAACTTTCATGCTTTTATCATCAAATAGGCAATTCTATCATATTTTGCATTAATATGCCTGACTTACAATATTAAGGTGAATTTTAACCAGCACGGCGCAACTAATTCAACTGTTTGTAGAGATATTCCCAGACGAATATTATAAATTATATGTTGGAAACATGAGTGAAAAACGTAAATTCGTATTTGTAACAAAAATGTAGTCAAGTTAATGTCACACGTCATGAATAATATTGTTATTTTATTCAACAAACAAAAACACTTTCTCGACAGTGTCCACATCAGACGAAAGGTTTTGAAAATTAATTCTTCCGGTTTGATTTTCTCAACACCCCCCCCCCCAAAAAAAAAGCCGTAGTCTTATTAGAATTATTGATTGTAAAGTATGTCCCCCCCCCCAAAAAAAAAAAAAAAAAATGCCCGTCCGACTATTTTTTTAATAACTACAAAATCATGAATGCAAGTTTGAAAATGTTTAGTTGTGCAGATACTCCTAAGCCTTGGCCTCAACCCTTATGAGTTTCATTAAATTTCAGTCACGCATCACTGCACAATTGTCAATTGATCACAACAACATTTTTGGACACTGTGACCACGTTCCTTGCCTTATTCAATTTCAGTACTGTGTTAAGCCCCTGTCACACTTTTGGGTATCCTAATTCCTTATTAGTTCCTTATCAAAAATTTTCAATACGCAGCCGTACGCTCAAAACGTCGATTTTTTTTGATTACTTTGACTTATGTGCGACGCACATCTAGCGTACAAGTAACCAATTCAGCCCATCCATTGCGTGTGAGATGCGTATGTGTTGCGTATGCAGTGCACAACGTTATTTTTCGGGCTGCGAATAGGTCAGTATGCAGGGCGCATGCCGAGCGTATTCCGGACGCACCCGACTTATGCCGACCGCATTCCTGACGCACTTCCGACGCAATATGTCGGCTTTCGCCATTGATCTCCAAATACACAGACTGTGTATATGGAGATCAATGGCTTTCGCTATGAGTTCGTTCAGCGTGCGTTGTATCTGCGCTGCAAGTACGCTATGTATACGTCCAATATAGGCGGCTCATATGCTGACGGGGTGCGTGCCGGGAGGTCAGCGTATTACCACGTATGAATCGCTCATCCCCCAAGAACACATAGCGTACTCGTACCGCGCACGACCGATGCGGGACCGATGCGCTGCGTATTTATAACTTATGACCTGTGTAACAGCATACGCAGCGTAGTTTTGTGCATGCCCAAAACTATCCGGCGTACTGGGCCGTACCATGCGTATGCCTGCGTACATAAAACTTACACAAAACGATAGAGATGCATATGAGGTGCGTATTGTGCGTACGACTGCGTATGATAAAAATGTCAATGCGCAACTCATAAGGAATTAGGATACGCAGAAGTGTGACAGGGCCCTAAGCTGTGTAAAATCCTACATTGTGGAAAGGGCTGCAGTTGGGATAGGAATCGTTTGCCTAGCTGTCAGTCATTATGGCAAGATCTCTGTTTGATGTTTAAGAGCAACTGATAAAATTACTGATTCCAATCCCAAACCACGTCAGCCCTTTTTTCTCAGTATGCAGGATGTATTGATGTATTCAGCTATTATTGTTATTACTTGGGGGGGGGGGGGGGAGGGGGGGACTCATTACCAAAAGTGTGTTTGAACAAATACCAGTCAGCTGATGTCCGTCATGATAATGCAAGTATAATATTAATTTCTCGCAATGTCCACAGTAAACTTCAACAGCTGATATCCGGTATAGGGCCTAACACGACGCTTACCTTTGCACTGCCAAGTTTCGTTACCCAATAATTGTCTAGCCGCACACGGGTATAACAAAGGATTTATTGTTTTATCGAAAATGTTGACATGTGTCAAGTGTAATCTTTGATGTATAGCCTGAAGTGACAGTTGTAATACCGGATTTAAAGTAACCGATTAACTTTTTTTTTTCATGACAAAATGGACGGAGTGAATATTGTGTTGACTCAAAGTGCTTTAATGGTGGTCCTTCATTCAACTATATGCTCTATTAAAATGCTTTTCTGGACAACCGAGGACAATGTTACTGTGATGTAATTTCAGGAGGAAACTGTTCAGGTCAGGCGTTTTCTGTTCAAAATTGTGAAGCCATAAATTTGCTCATTGAAAACATCTGTGAGTAAAGTTTGTTCATTTGGTTATTATTGCCATGTCCTGACACAACAAAAAATCACCACAGAAAAGACAATTTACGCCGGCAAAGTTTCCAAAATACTGGCAACTTTTGGTGCTGAAATAGCTGTAACTTGGGGTTTCTGCCTGACATGACATCAAACTTCTGCTCATGTATAATTTGAAATTCGCATTAGCATAACAACCAAAAAGGCACCAAAACACCCATTGAAAATGGCAAAACACAAATTGAAAATCAGGTTTAATGCGACACGAACGTGCATTTTCAAATATTGCATTAAAACAATCACATTGCGTGGGCCCTTTGAATTGTCTCCAATCGGCATCTTTCAACCGAGTCGAGTGTGAAATCTGTGCATGAATGAATAGTAAATGGTGCTTCGTGGCCAATTTTAAGAGAGCACAGTCGGAGGGCATACATATCAATGTGAGGCAATGATGTACATCGGGTCGGGTTGAAAAGGCCAAACCGACCCTAAACATTACAGATATTAACCGAATCCGAACCGAAACCGATCTTAACTCGCTCAAACCGACCCGACCCGACAAAAAAAAATAAGGTAAAAACCGACCCGAACCTACCGGACCCGAAAAAAAATCCGAAAAGAAACCGAATACCTGACTTGGACAAAGGGATCACTTTTTTGTGCCTTTCCTTACCCAAGTGGCATGAATTCCTTCGCAAAACCAACGTCTCTCTCTCTATACTCAGTGGGTTGATCGAGAGTAACTTCGCTTATTGAACAAACGCATGGTATCATCACGCGGTATCATGAAAACTGTTACAATGTATCTCTTTCACTGTCAGTCCCGATCCGACTGAAGAAATTAATACCGTGGGAACTTGATAGTGCGCTCGGTGGCCACACCACACAATGGGCTGCGGTCACAGTGACTATCAATAATATTGCATCACCTGCATTTTAACCTGTTTCGGTTTATTTCGGTTTATTTCGGTTTATTTCGATTTAGTCGTTTTTTTTTTCAAAAGATGGCTAAACCGAACCGAACCGACCCGAAGTCGTTTCGGCTCGGGTCGGTTTCGGTTTCGGGTCGGGTTTGCACATCACTTAATGGGAGGGTACACCTCGTGCGCGCGTAGTGCATGGTTTGCGAGCGCATGGCGCAAAATATACGCACAACTCAGTGTGCAAAAATTTATGTTGTGAAAACCCGACCCGAAACTGAAACCGACCCGACTCGATACCGACATCAGGTCGGGTCGGGTGCTATCTTCATCATTTCAGTCGGGTCTGGGTGGTTTTGCTTTTGCGATTTTCGGGTCGGGTCGGTTAAGGCATCTCGTGAAAAACCCGAAATAAGCCGAAATATGCCGGGGGAAAAAAACGAAACAGTTGGGAAATTCACGCGGTGCCATATTGTAGAGTTACCGTGCCCGGTACGACAAACGTCAACCCACCACGCAGCACGCAATGTGCATGTGGTTTGCGGTCTATCACGCATAGTCTATGTGTAGGCCCAGGGACGTAAATCCCCGCTGGTGGGGGTACATATCAACACTTTTTGACAAAGGAGGGTTGGGGCTATTGGATCAAGAAGAAGAAGAAAAAGGAAACAAAAAAAAAAAACCAAAGAGGTGCAAAGGCATATTACTGTTGATTTAATGCACATGGGCGTCCGCGGGGGTGTCAATGGGAATGGGGTGGACAAATGTCCCCACGCCCACCCTCAAAAAAATTATAAATTGAGAATATGCTAGAAAAAGTATCAGGATTTTGTGAAATAATGTATTCCCCCCCCCCCCTCCCCTCCCCGCTTTAGAAAATATCCTGGCGACTCCCATGTCGGTAGCAAGTTAATATTTTGTTTATTACCAAAAGTGTGTTTGAACAAATACCAGTCAGCTGATGTCCGTCATGATAATGCAAGTATAATATTAATTTCTCGCAATGTCCACAGTAACCTGCAGCAGCAGATATCCGGTATAGGGCCTAACACGACGTTTACGTTTGCACTGTAATTGTTTCATTACCCAATAACAGTCTAGCCGCACGTACACGGGTATGAAAATGTTTGAACTTCGACCGCTCACGTTTCGAAGCGTTTAAAAAGGTTGCCATGTGTCAAGTGTAATGTTTTAAGCATATAGACATAAATTACAGTTGTAATAACTGGTAAAAAGGAACCGGTTAACTGGGGGGGGGGGGGGGGGGGGGGGGTTCAAGACAAAATGCACGTCCACCATTCGTCATGTGTGCTATGTGTGTGTACCCTACCTTTGTTCGATCTTCAACATGCGTATCCTGTATAGTGGCGCAGCGCTGCTTAGGCCGATTATTTGCACCCAAATTGTGCCCACATTGTGGTAAAATCATGAAATTTGGAACGCAGAGCCGAAATGATCTGGGAATCATTTTAAAGGGGCACTAGGTCCTGAAATCCCCGAAAAGTTCATGTTTTGTATTTGTTTACTTATCGTATTTCAAACAACTGGTTGAAAGGATACCACCCAACGGCGGAGCTTATTTTAAAAGGGGTGCACCGAATGCAGAAAACTGTATTGGTAGCATTTGTTGTTCTTTATGTTTTGAAATAAGCTGAGCACATGAAAACATTGTAACGTTAAAACACTTGTTAGTGTTACCCATCTGGTGGGTGTGTCCTAAATACAAGGCGGTATATTAAATCAGCTTTATTCAAACGAGGACCAAATAGTCATTTTGCTTGTAAAAACACAAATTCTGTATTCGTCAACTATTTTATTACCATACACTGCAAAGATAATATAGGTACCAATAATTTTTCCCTTTTTTGGGATGAGCTGTATTTCAAAGTAGGGGGATGAATATTCTATACATTTTTGTACTGACTCAAAGTGCTTAAATGGTGGATCCTAAGTTGGTGTTGCGTGGTAGGCTAGTGCGTAAAGTGCTCGCCTCTCACCAAGGTGACCACGGTTCGAATCCTGGCCGCGGATCACATGTGAGTAGAGTTGTGCGTTGGTTCTCTCCTGTGCCACGAGGGTTTTTCTCAGGGCTCTCCGGTTTTCGTCCCTCAAGAAAAATCAAACACTTTCGATCTCTGGCTGTGCTCCGTGGTTATATATGGGTCGATGTGGCCGGCAGCCATAGGCGCCTTTACGTGCCAGCGTCCCGACAACGTTGTAGCCGCGTCCTTCGCAATTCAGCATACCAGCTGCGAGTAAGGATGATTAGCCTCTCAAATTATTATTATTATTATTATAAGTGTTTAAATGGTGCATCCTTCATTCAAAAATTTCGTATTAAAAGGTCCGTGAAATGACTTTTTGTAAGGAACATTATTCGTGCAACCTTAACTCCTGTAAAATGTTTGGAAACTATTTGACATGTCCCTTTTTGGTACATTTTTTTTTAAAGTGCACTTTTTAAACAGAAAAGTTTGTTAATTGGGTTACTGCGATGTACTGACACAACAACGAATCACCACAACAAATTCTAAATACTCGCAACTTTTGGTGCTGAAATAGCAAACTTTTGCTCATGTATATTGAAATTCACATTAGCATAAAAACCTAAAACGCACCAAAACACCCATTGAAAATGGCAAAACAAAAATTGAAAATCAGATTAAATAGGAGGCAATTTTGAAGGATTGCATTCAACAAATTACAATGCATGGGCCCATTGAATTGTCTTCAATCGGCATCTTACAACCGAGTCGAGTGTGGAATCTGTGCATGAATGAACAGTAAATGGTGCTTCGCGGGGCCCGGGTTCGAATCCTCTCGGTGTCCTTGTGGTTAACACCGCACGCGTACAGTCGTTTACTCGAAAGAGATGTAATTTCCCGTCGTAAAATACCATCAGTAACTTAGCTTAATCGGTAAGCGCTGCTGCAGATGTGAAAGAGTGAAAAACCACTCGAAAAGAGTGAAAGTGCCACTCGGTCAAAGAGCCATATGGGGGACAACTCTTTTTAGAGTGGATAAAAAAGAGTGACTATAATTCACTCCAAATAGAATGAAGTTTTAATTTCTAAGAGTGAAAAAGAAACACTCCAAAAAGAGTAAACGAGTGACAAGAGTGCTATATAATCGCTCTTTTAAGAGTGAATATAAACGCTATATTCAGAGCAAAATTGACGGTGGAACTTACTTTCATTTATTTGTTAATATTTAGACAGTATAGCTAGCCTAAGCCTGATGACGATGGCCATCTTTTCCGGCCTACCTAAAGAAGGACATTCAACAGTAAGTTTGAGAAAATGTTCGTAATTCCAAACGTAGGAGGAGTCCAACCTGGGCTACTGCCGGCCTAGCATTGCAAGTCTGGCCGCGACCATGCACTGTCCATGTCTGTGCTGTGCCTACCGGTACCTTCCTAACGAAACTTATAAGTCCAAGTCCTTTCGATTTTCTCTGCTTGTTCCGGGTCGTCAAATGCCCCTCGGATTTTGTCTTCAACAACAAGTAGGCCTCCGGAAAAGGTGGCCATTGTCATCAGGCTTAGCTTGAGGCCGAGGCTAGCTGTACTGTCAAAACGACAACGCGATATCCGGCCATATCGTACGCGCACGTTAGCGAAACGTACGTGTAATGCACTTTAACATTGGCGGCCGTTGAATTTTTTTTCAGTGTATACATTACGCGCGCGCGGTATGTATGCAAAGTACGTTTGGACACACATGATTGGCTCAATCTAAAAATCATCGCGTCAGTGATTGGCTGTTTTCGGTAAACAGTCGCTCCAAAAGTCAAGTGGTAGTCATTGCGGGAATATAACACACTCGAAAAAGAGTGAAATTTGTTTTTGCGACTCGCCCCCCCCCCCCCCACCCATGAAACCTTGTCGCCCCCCCCCCCCCAGTCGCCCCCCACTGAGATTTTGCGTTTCTAACAAAATTATCATTGATCTACATGACGCCCCTCCATGAAATGTTCCAGCCCCCCAGCGCCCCCACTGAAAAATTCCTGGCTACGCCACTGGTGGGGGCGGTCTAATCTTCAAACCGGACGATCATGGGCACTATCACACAACATATGTGGCGCTTTTCAGGGCGGCACAATTATCGCCAGCGTCGCAGGAAATTCCACAAAGGGCACTTGTAGTAAAAAATGGCACTCTTCACAAAATAATAGGGGGCCGCTGGTGAAAAAGGGCACTTGTGGACAAAAGGGGACTCTTTACACAAAAAAAAGACAATTTCTGTGATGTCATCTTGTAACCCACACATTCTTCAATGATCTTTATTGACATTTGTGCCTGTTTAGAGAATTGGTTTCATAAATGCAGCACATTACATCTTAGAAAGTGATATCTAAGAAAGATTCTGACTTTTCCTCAACCTTTTTAAATCTAGAGTCCACTGAGCAGTCATTAAGAGTAATTCTTTCAGTATTGGCAGCTCTGATTAATTGTAGCCGCATGTAACCCCTTCGTATTTTGGTTAATAACAGCAGTAGCACCCACTCTTGTCGATTTCCCACCCAACACCCAAAACTCCAGTTGAATCATTGGAGCCGGTATAACAAACAATGAGAAATCACATTTATCATTTAAATCATCATACACAAACAAAACACACTATACTCATTAATTTGGGATTGTGCGAGCTGCAGCAACCAATACTTTTAATTAGCTTACACTGTTTCATCGACTTCTCAAATTACACATCATTATTACTGATAACTTTGCACGATATACATCGAGATATATATCAACATATTAAGTATTAATCACAAACTGTGAATTCGACCCATTGCTTTTGGTGATCGCCAGATACGAAAAACCACAAACCTTTTTGGAAAAAGTGGAAACGTATGCCCTGACCTATGCTGACCACCGCTCTCAGGCTAGCTAAGCAATGATAATGGGAGGTTCTTAAAACAACGTATTTTAAGATAGAATTACTTTAGCCATTACAATAGCATATAATTAAATAAATAACGTGTGTTGCGTTGCTGCTAGCAAGCGTGAAGTGACGCGTTTCTCCGCTAGCATCACATACCACTACCTATTCAAAATTCCCGCTCTGACCATCGAACCATACAATCATTAGCATATCAATGATAAATTCGATGCATTCTAATTCATTCTGGACTCAACCGAATACATCAACATTTATCATTTAAATCATCATACACAAACAAAACACACTATACTCATTAATTTGGGATTGTGCGAGCTGCAGCAATCGGCTTGAATAAATAAAGAACGGGTGGATGTTAGATACCTAACCGCTGAGAAACAGATAATAAGTTAGAAAAGCTCTCTTGGACATAACCATCTTTAGCCGTCTCCGACTTCCAACGCCCATGGCGTTTAAACAATCTGTCGGCTACACCAGCCTTAGCAGCCTCTGAGGCTCCACCTGATCTTAAACTATGTAAAGAAAATTTGGAAACATCTGCAACTACTGGAGAAATTGCTTTCAAAACTAGCTCTCTAACTCTGGAATATGACATGGGCTGATTGTTTTTGCGCAGGGAATAACCATTTTTAACTTTTGTTAAGTTCCTGAACACAAAAGCCTCTTTATCACCACTGGAAATCTCTGCAAGATTAATATAAAGCTCTAACATGGCTACTGGACAAGTCTGAGAAAATGATCTAGCAATAATAACTTCACTGCCCTGTCTGTACACGTCTGTCTTACTTGACTGAATCCGGACTGACAAATGGTCATGATGGAACATTAAATCTTGCATCTTAAGCGAGGCTAACTCATTAAATCTTAAGAAACCTGCAAAAGATATTAAAGCCATAGCCAAAGTTCTAATGTTCATTAGGTTATGTACTGATCTGTCAGCTCCTTGCAATTGTACCATCTGTACTAGGATCTGGGGTGTTATTGGCTCTTTTCTTGCCCTTGGTTTAGCGAGTGTTCGTTTGAGTCCCTCTATGACTTGAACAGTCAATGGATCCTTCATGGGGTCGTCCAAACTGGCCATGCGATGTGCCCAGGAAATTGCTGATGAAGCACTGATAATTGGCGATGGTGACGATGCTGAGTTGCTGATGTGAACCAGATATAATGATATTATATATGGATCACCAGGAAGGGGAGACTCGTCATGTGACAGTGCCCACTGATGCCATCTGGTAAAGGATGAGTTGTATTGAGTTACCGTGCTTGAAGCTCTTGAGCTCACCAATATGGAGGGCAGCTGGTTGGCGAGAGAACTCAGGTCTTGATTGTTGGCGCTCCTCTCGGAACGGTGTCTCCAGTTATCACTGTTGAAGATTAGCTTAACAAAGAGACAAAGAACTTTGTTACAACATATATGTTATTACTTTACAATATGCACTGTTTTAATTCCTAATTTTCTCCATTTCAGAATTGACCCCTTGGGTCTCTACACTAGTAAGGCACCAAGCCCAAGCGTTCTGAACGCTTGTACAGAAACTCATTGATAACTGCTGAACCTGACCGCTAGTACTGTACTGCGCACAATATCATGAATGAACTTAGAGTTATTACTTCGACCATTCTCAAAAAGTGGGAAAGGACTCACAAATTCATGGATACTTGTGATTTCTGATCTTTCATTGTAACCATCTGGGAATAATAACACCCAGTAAGGGGATGATCTCCAGGCGGGGCATATCAATGTCCCCTCAGCTCTGTTGGCTATTAACTGATGTATGACTCTTGGAATCAAATGTATCGGGGGAACCAACCAGTTATTTTCCCCTGCCCAATCTTGGGTGAACGCATCGGTTGCCTGAGCACCTGGATTCCAGAATCTAGAATTAAAACGAGTTAATTTGGAATTATAATAACTGGCAAACCGATCGATTGTGTGAGGACCCCACATATGATCAAGTAGGGAGAACATCTCATCTGAGGTCTGCCAATCGTCATAATCGACCAGCTTACTTATGAAATCTGCCTTTTCGTTCTTCGATCTCGGCACCCATTCTAATTCAAGGAACACTCCATTGCGTACACAATTACGCCATATGTTTAACACAATAGACTGTAAATCTGACTTCATACTGCCTTTGCAAACTATTCTTGTAACAGCTTGATTATCAGAAAACCATTTTACTCTGGTGTTTTTGAACTTGTTTATTTGGGATGCTAACACCATGTCTATTGCTTTTAATTCTCTCCAGGTTGAACTATGTTTCCTTTCATTTTCCGACCACTGACCATGACTGATCGAATCATTGACATTTACTATGTAGCCTCCGAAACCATTTTTGCTTGCATCTGAAAACACCATAGTTGAACACATGGGTGTTAATTTTATTGGAGTTTCCTTCAGGTTATCTATGTTGTGTAACCAGAAGAGGAGTTCTTCGTTGGCTTGTTCTGAGATGACAACTTTGGAATTCCACGAATTTCTAGATTCAATTACACAATGCATAGCTTTGGTCATTACCCTACTCATTGATCCCACAACTAAATAGGATGAAACAATACATCCTGCCACACTGGCTAGATCTTTGACTTTGACGCAGGTTGACGAACCTGCTGACTTGGGAGTTAACAGTTCTTGAATTCGTTCCTTGATGCTGTTTATTCGTCTGTTTGGCAAAACAAGAGAACCATTCTTTAGGTCAATTATCAGACCTAACCACTCGGTCTCTGAAACCGGGTCCCAAGTACTCTTTTGTACATTAGGTACGAACCCCGCATTGACCAGGTCAACTTTAACTTGAGCACTGTGCTCTCTGGCTTTCTGAAAGCTCTCTGCATAACACAAACCATCGTCTAGGAACACAACTATTTGTTTACCTTCACTTCTCCACTTCTGTACAAGTGGTCTCACCACTTTGGTGAAAACGTATGGGGCAGCGGATAAACCAAATGGTAATACAGTAAACTTGAAGAATGTAAAGGCACCTTTGTAAAACCAGGAAAATCCCAAGTACTGTTGATGTTCTGTACGAATGCTAATATGGTGGTATCCCGATTTTAGGTCAAACTGGAACATAAAACCCCCCTTTTGAAGATATAACATCGCTGTACGCATATCTTCGTACTTGACAGATAGCTTCCATAAAAACCTGTTCACTTCTCTCAAATCTAGTATTAATCTCCTCTTGCCTGATTTTTGTACTGAAACTGACAAAGGATTCACTATGTATGGTTGTTCTGTGCAAGGCAAGACGCAGTGCGTCTCTAATAAATCTGAAATTGCATTTGTGACAAATTCGCTATTATTGATGGCTGAGCGATTATTCAACCCTTGTTTGGATTTCTCAACATTCGGCGTGTGTGGTGGTGTTTCATAAAACGGAATCATGTATCCGTTGCTAATTATGTCTAATACATAGGAATTGGCATTAATTGCTCTCCAAAAATCATAATGATGATGTAAACGACCAGCCACTTGAATTTTGCAACCTGTGGAACACCTTTCTTCGTACTCAAAGAAATTATCGGTAAATTAACATAACTCAACTTCATTGAACGTGCTAGACTTGCTTGCTGCGGTGTCCTTGCTAGGTGGAGAAACTTGGGGTGTTGCTCTTGTCTTGCCTTCTACTGATGTTTGGACAGGCTTTTCTCCAGTGACCTTGGCTTCCGCAAGCGTAGCAGATGTCTTTGCTGGTTGGGAATCGTTGGCCACGAAAAAACTGGAATTGAGAAGCAGGAGCGACAGAAGTAGTAGCGGGAGCAGGAGTCTGGTAGTGGTAGTCACCGGTCTTGAATCTCTTGGCCCCGGCGGACTTCTTACTGGACGCCGCTTTAAGCTTTCTGGCCGCCCTGTCTTCTGCCCTTGTGATCTTCTTGTCATCTCCGGAGTCGTTGGCCAACTCGTTATTCTCGTATTCTTCGACTGTTGCCCAGCCAGAGGGGCTGGTATCGGCTAGTCGGATTAGCTTTTGACGATGCTCGAGCAGAGCTTTAATACTGGTTAGCTCTTGCTGCACTTCAGTGGACTGGTTTTTGCGTTCAGCTTCTACGACGTGATCCAATACGGACTGATTAAAGTTATATTGTCGTTTATGGCCTTCCCTTTTCCAGGTTAATTTGACGCTAGTGGCGGATTTGAGCTTCGTATCAAAATTGGCAGAAGCTTCAGCTATCTTGTCTTCCAGTATCTTAGCTTGACTAGATGAGAATTGAGCCAATAGCTCCTGAATGTCCTCTTTCGTAGCTGGAGTTGATGACATGTTTAAAGTGTTGAAAATGGCGACAGCTCTAAAAAATAACGTGTGTTGCGTTGCTGCTAGCAAGCGTGAAGTGACGCGTTTCTCCGCTAGCATCACATACCACTACCTATTCAAAATTCCCGCTCTGACCATCGAACCATACAATCATTAGCATATCAATGATAAATTCGATGCATTCTAATTCATTCTGGACTCAACCGAATACATCAACATTTGTGCATTCTTTACCACTATCCGTTAGCAAAACGTACCAAATATAGACGCCGTGCATAGACCTACGTTTCACATAATACACCGCCATCAGTCTGGTCGCGTTGTGATCACAGAGGGCATTTCGATCGTACTCTCAATCATCTACAGGATTTATCGATGTTATGGGATGAACTTTCTGTTGAAATGCCCCTAGAGATGGCACAACGATGGTATCCGTGAAACATCCTATGCATTCTTTTTAGCCTAAGTAGACTGATTTCGCCAACGCGTCTTCCCAGTCAGAATACTCCACCGTAGAGTGAATCATCTCCGTCTGATAGTTCTCCGATTTTTGGACGTACTCCAGGTAGTCTGGAGCACCGGGGAAAATAATATTATCAGCTAAGACGACGGTTCCTTTCCTCAGCAGGCTAAGGGACTCGAGGAGCTTCAAGTCCCTCAGGTACGCGCCCTTCCAGTGGTCGATGAAGACGAAATCCAATTTGTCCACGGAGAAATCGTCGCGGAGAGTTGGAATGACGTCCTCGGATTTCTTGCAGATGATTGTAACCTGTGTATTTGAGAGACAAAGAGAGGGGTTGGTGTTCATTTAGGGAATGGGCATACATGCAGTGTTGAGGAAAAAATATAATTGTGACAGCATGTAAACCATGGCAGCATGCGAAAGTAACCTAAGTCTTAAACTGATGTTTTTCAGAGTTATTTGTTTAAAGTTTAGCATTGTGTTACAACTGTAAAAAAATCTTGCTCCAGCTCTCAACATCACAACGGGCTAGAAAAAGAAGATAATAGTATTGCTATTGGATAGATCTTTGAGAATACAACTCTCTACCTTCTGGGAGACTTGTGCTCCTGCCAACTCGATGAACTCCTTGGCCACCTCCTTCGCGAGGGTCTCATCAGCCTCAACGGTGATGAACCGGCTTCCTTCGGGGAGGACACTCGCCATCAGCACCGCCGAGTAGCCGCAGTACGTGCCCAGCTCCAGGCATGTCATAGGGGCCAACTCCTGGATAAACTTGCGCACTATATCACCTGATGTGAAGGGGAAAACGAATTCGAAGGCAACGCTTGTAAAATTAGTCCAATTAGCGCTCAGGGCATTCCATTTGATTGGCTCAGAATGGCTGACTACTCATTGGAAGTTAGTCTGGTTCTAACTAAAGATTCTGACTATTCCTGATGAATCTTTGGTCAGGTAGCCTTCAGTTATACATTGTATTACAATTTACGTCACGTGACTCAAACGGGCGTAATTCCTCCTTTTTCCGAAAATGTCCGAAGTTTGCCGAATTAATTTCGTCGACAATCGGATAGTGCCCGAGTGTTTCCGAGTATAATATAGGTTTTATTAACTGCTAATTGGGGGCCGTATCATAAGTCCGACGCCTCATAGGTCCGACGCCTCATAAGTCCGAAATTTCGGACTTATGAGGCGTCGGACTTATGAGGCATACAATTTATTTATTCCACCTCATAGGTCCGACGCCTCATAAGTCCGACGGCTCATAAGTCCGACAACGGAAAAACGAGGCGTTTAATTTGTCGGACTTACGAAGCGTCGGAGCTATGAGGCGTCGGACCTATGAGGCGTCGGACTTATGTGGCGTCGGAACTATGAGGCGTCGGACTTATGGGCCTTTATTTGGTTAGGGGATGCGATTCTGTCGGACCTATGAGGCGTCGGACTTATGAGCGGACCCCGCTAATTGCTTATTAAACTTTAAAAGTGAGTTGATAATTAATATTCATTGCTTTCATTTAGAAAACTAGAAATTCAACGACGATTTTGTACATCATGCACTCGGATCGTATTCGAGGGGCGAACTTTTTGCGGCGTCATGCACTATTTTGAATTTGACGACGGGATTTTCCAAAACTCGGCGCGGTGTTTATTCGACGCCACCTGCTAACAGTGCTATTTGGGCGCTTAAAGGGAAAATACAACATTTGCAAACATCAAAAAATAAAACTACCAAATCATTTTGAAATACTTTGCTGGACTGTTCGTGAATGACAGTGTAAAGCATCCTGTAAAATCATGGCACCTGGTATACTGTCATTTTCAAGAAAAGTGGTATTTTTGTATCAATTTCCAACGCTGATCGGCCGATCAGCGTTGGAAACAACTGGCTTTTTTTTCAAATACTGGCCCCAATGGACCATCGCACTTGTTTGCAATCGATTACAAACCTATGAACGGGTACGAGCCAGCTAGACTGGTTCCCTGACCTTACAATTCCCCAATGTATGTAAACTGCTCTGTTTCTTCTTATATGGAGTCAGGGAACCAGACTACAGGAAAATGATCGTTTTTGTTGGTTTTTATAGCATTTTCGAACCCAAAACCTCAAAAAAGTCAGTGTAACTATATTTGCTATATATTTCCTATCCCCCAATTCCATCCATTTCTGAAAATTACATCAAAAGCAAATGATGTATATTCCCTTTAACCTTGAGGATTCTGGGTCAACATTAGTCAAAGTTTTCTTATAGAAATATCAAACTGTATTATAATAACTGTATGATATTATGAAGCAAGTGATTTATTTTTAAAAATGTATTGCAACATTATCAGCTGGATACGGAGCCGAGCTTTGAAAAAGGGCCATCAATGTCGTCATGTTTATTTTTAGCCACCGAGACTGCCTGACCTACAATTTAGACGTGAGCGTCGGGAACAATTGTCAGGTCTGGGAACCAGACTAATTGGCAGTCTGTTCGTGCATCTGATGTGTACACAGGGGGCTGGATTTGGCACATCCATTGGTTCAGGCCAAAAAAAAAAGTCTCCGGTTTCTGGCATGGAGCTTGCCCAAAAAGTGGTGCGGCGACGCGGCTTTTTTTTTTTTTACCTGATTTTTTTTGCTTTAAATGTCGGCTGATGACTGCAAATGGTGCCCGACTAAACTTAGTGCAAATATATGGGAGTCCAGAGAGGCCACATAAAGCTTATTCTCGACCATAACCCAATCTAAAAACACGTTAAAATTGTGCAGCAGCAGGATTCCAGTCAAACCAGTGAGTTTGGCGGTTTTGAGACATCATCTTTCATTGAAAAAAAAAACGTTTTCATTTTGCCGACGCGCATGGCTACGGCGACGCGCGCGCATACCAGATACCGGAGACTTTTTTTGGGCCTTAACTATACAACAGCACTTTTCACTAGCCAAAACCAGGCCTATAGTCACAAGTGCATCCGTCAGTCGGTGCATCCGTCGTCGGTAGGTCAGTCAGTCGGTGGGATAGGCAAAAGGAGAACTATAAGCAGGCCCTATTGGACCAGCAGTAAGAGTTCACACTCACAAGATACGACGGGCATTACTTTCCTGATGTCGAGGGCAACAATAATACGTGAATGGAAACGGTGTTCCTGACCTTCAAACCGTAAAAACACTCTTGGATTATGCTCATGTACTGATGCACAAACTTAAAGACCAGAAGGAAAAAAACCGGTATACGATTGATACGTTACTTCCAAACTGTAGCAACAACCTTATCTATCATAAAAATACAGGCGTGGATCACGGGGGGGGGGGGGGGGGGTTTGTGGTCAACCCCCAGCTTTATTGCATAGAAATGCATAAACAATCATACTAACCCGAACCCGCCCCTCCTTTGACACCCGAAAACAATTATACTGGTAGTAGTGTCCGCCTGTGCACAAAATACGGACAGAGCCATATGGGTTGCAGGGTATTTGTACACTATTATCGTCGGATTTGAAGAGCGCCCCCATTGAAAGTATTGTACGCGCCTCGATGTAGCTTTCGATGTACAAAAGAAAGTCCATAGTTTGTGTTGCTGCAAGTTGGACTGCTCCAGCTGGAGTTGGAACGATCCTTACTGTCCGGGGCAATTGCTATGATGTAACACGGATCGTGATCATATAGGTAGCCTACCTTTCTTGTCTCCGACGTGCATCATCCGACGATCCTTCTCGTAGCAGTACTTGTCGGTAGCGGCCAATAACGCAGCAGGGTCCCCGCTGATTTCAGCAGCCCGTTCCTTGAGGTGGGCTAGCATCTTCTTTGTCCTGCCGACACGATCCTCCAGAAATTCATCATTAATTGTGCTTAATTGCGGGTTGTCGCTCTTTGTTGCCATCGTTAACCCTATTTTTTTGTCAGCAGGAATTAAATTGAAAGAAATGATAATTTTTAAAGCGCCTTTTCCAAAGGATACAAGGGGAGAATGCAACCAAAAACCTTAAGGTACGATTAAACAGACGTGTTTTTATAAGTCCCTTAAACTGTTCGACTGATGAAGCGAGGAGAGAGTCCCAGCTTCGGAGACCAGCGATGAAAAATGCACGGTCTCCAAACTTCCAGGAGGATCGAGATACTGCTATTGGATTGTGATCGGAGACCTTCACGTTTGGGTTTGCTGGAATCAAGTATGTCCAAAATGTAGGGTGGGAAAGTGTTGAATACATGTTATGTACATGTTCAGTGCCATCCTAAAAGCGATCCGCTGGTTGACTGGAAGCCAATGGAGATCCATCAGTAGAGGTGTGGCATGGAATTACTTTGGCTTCAGGCGAATCAGTCGAACAGCTTTGTTTTTGTAGAACTATCATTTGGCTGACTGCTCTATGTTCTGACACCCCTATGTTCCGACAACCTGCACATAAGATTGTGTTACTCCCGGTTAGAGTTAGGGTTAGGGTAAGAGTTAGGGTTAGGTTAGGTTAGGGTAGGGGTTAGGTTTAGGGTTAGGGTTAGAGTTAGAAATATGTGCAGTCCGAACATAGGGGTGTCGGAACATAGGGGTGTCGGAACATAGGGGTGTCGGAACATAGAGGTGTAACCATCATTTGCTACTGGCCGTATACGTAGTTTTGCCAGCCACTGGATTGGTTGGCAAACTATGATCGGCCATCATTTCAAAGCAAAGGAATTCCCAATTTTCGTTGTCAATACTATTTTATCATTACCAAGACTAGGCAAGCCTGTCCCAGAGCACACATAATTTAATCGATTTAATTGATTGAAAATGATGGCTACTCACGGGAGTTTTTTTTTCTTAGGAATACAGCTTCATTCTTTAGCATTATACGTCAATTGTTTTGGACCAAAAGTGAGACTTATGCAAGTCTAATTCGCAAGTGGGAGTCATTTATTCAGGTCCAAGGGGTTTTCCCACCTATTTCAGCTATGTAGACACAAAAGGAGGGCGCTATTTGATTTTGGTAAACTCTTTTATATTTACCAAAATCAAATAGCGCCCTCCTATTGTATCCGCCATTATATCTAATAGGCAAATAGGCTGGCCCTTTTGTTCGCTCGTACCCTGCCCTTGCAAACAGGACGCTGGGATACTCTGATGAGCTTCACAGAATCTTGTGAGGGAAGTGGCCTATGACCTATGTATAAAGCATCTGGCTGCAGCTGTTCCAGACCGCAGTTAGACAATGTGCGCAAATGCTATCCGAAAACTTCCTATAGAAATGCACATATTCCATCCCGGATGTGATTTCTGTTTCATTGCGGACCATGTGGACAAAATTTTGAGCGTCGCTTAATGCAATCCCACCGTTCGTGATTCGAAACGGAGCCTGAGCAAGTGACGGGAATTGTAAATTTACAACACAGATAAGTTTTACAGAATTTCCTACATTATTACACTTTTCAACGAGACAAAAAAATCTCTACACTGGAATAAAAGAGTAATAAATCAGTCTTAACGGCCGTTTCAAACCTTGCAGAGTCATGACCTTGATGACGCGCAGGTCACGTGTCACGCAAAATCCAACCAATCAGAGCGTGAATTCATCAGAGTATCCCAGCGTCCTGTTTGCAGGGCGGGGGGGGGGGGGGTACGAGCGAAGCCCTTTTGGAACCAGCAAAAACAAAGTATATCCCACAGCCAATGAACAACACCTTCCCAACCCTAAATGACTTTCCTTTCTTTCGAAAACCTCAGGTTTTAATTTACGGAAGTTGATGGCCACCCATACAAAATGGATCTCGATGATTTTCGACAAAAGTTATAGTATAGGGCCTACTAGGTTGATTATGCTGAGGCAAAGTCTAGCAATTTGATCAAAAATGCAAAATGCACACGCTAACTGATGCACCCGCTAACTGAACTTGGCGCCGCAAGTCAAAGGTTTGTGTATGATCATGATTCGAATTGAACGCAGATCTCCAGCACTCTTATATTATAGGTCTAAAAACATGTGCGGGAAAAAAACTACAGTCATAGCTACCATAATAATAGTTACAATTCATCACACAAAAATCTACTTCACTTCTGCTTTACAACGGACTCCCGGCTGCCCAGTGGCGGTGCTACGGGGGGAGGGACATGGGGGACATTTTGCTCTCCCAAATTTTTCCCTTGCCCTCCCCCCCTTGCCCCCCCCCCCCCCCCCGTTTGCCCCCCCCCCCAGTTTTTCCCCAACACTTTATTTACAAATAGATTAATTAAGTTTATTTTCTTCGCTGTTAACATTCATTAAAATGTGGACACATTTTGTGCCAATGAAAGCATTATAAACTTGGTACTTTAGTAGACAAAACACGCCAGACATGCATTTATACAGCCGTAGATAGTTTGCAGCAAACGTCTTTGTACACTTGTTAAACATTATGTTATACACCATTCTGCGGTTTGATACATTACAACATACAGTTGCTCTAGTGGCTTATTTCCGGACCATTGACAATGTGCACGCGCGCGCGTACACGGGCTTAAGATTTTATTTTGAATACCCCCCCCCCCCCCCCCCCAAAAAAATCGTTCATATTTCTTAAAGGTTAAAACTTCACTCTAAATCGGAGTGAAACTTCCACTCTTTTACAGAGCCACACGACAGACAACTCTCTTCACTCGTTACGAGTGGCTTTTCACTCCTTTGCAGTAGGCTTACCGCATGATGACCGCCTTCAACTGATTAATGTTAAATATTTACATCATGGACAAATCAAAAAGTTTTGTTTTAATTTCCTGAAAAACGCCATCACTCGCCGAAATTATGAATATTGATTTATTGCTTCTGACCTTCGGCCTTTATACGTTGGCTGCAATGCCTCTCCAACCAGACCCCCTTGAAAAAATATGAAAACATACTGCCCAGTGCAACAACGATATCTTCCTACCCGATAACGTGCGAGCTTGCACAAACTTAAGAATGCTCACATTTCAAAGGTTTATTTTTCAGAAACCGGTGTGCAGACGGGCGCTGCATCGCTTTACTTTAATTTACATGCCTAACTCACACAGAAACATATGAAAGAAACATTACCTGAATTTAAACAGGAAGGTTCTGCAGCTGTATATGCTCTTTGATGATTTTTAAGTCGGCTTTGGAATTAAAGAAGTTTCAAAAGCAGTGAGATACTGGAATGCAACACAATTGGATAGTTGCTGCATGCCGGGGTATATGCAGTGCGCCTGACACAGACTCGTATGTCAATCGGACTTTCACCCTCATAATTTCACCCTTGTCATGATTCAACGGCCCTTTTTTTTGGACCCTGATCCAACAGAATACACATTCATGGTCCAGTTTCCTTTGATAAGGGATGCAGATTAGATTGCAGCTCTGTCGATGGGGGCGCTGTTCAAAACCGACAGTTATGCACACAAAGGGTCAATATATGGTGCTTTTCAGGGCGATACATGTGCGAAATTCTGAAAAAAGGCACCCAAAACGGCAGATGCCACAAAAAAGGGCGCCACTTCTTTTTTTAAAGGGCACTTGTTCAGGAAAAAGGGCACTTCGTTAAAAAAAAAGGGCACTCATTACAAATTATTGGGGGGGGGGGGTAAGCCCGTTGAAAAAAGGGCATTTAAATGGAAAAAGGAAGTCTTTACAAAATATTGGGGGGGGGGGGTAAATACCCCCCCTCCCCCCCTGCTGGTTACGCCTGTGCATGAAGCGAAGACAGACGAACTATTACCACACACAACTTTCGTTCGAACTTGCCCAATAGGCCTATTACTCGAAATCGCTTCTTGCTAACCCACGTTCACTCCAGTACTGCTTCTGAGATTTTTTCCCTTCACCAAATCTGTTCAACACATTGCGCGAACGTGACCAGGGACAACACTCCGCCACCTGCAGTCACGACACCTCTGATTCTCCGAAGTTGATGTGTTTGACAATGCACTCCGACGACACACTGTGAAGCAGCACTTGTCGATCATACACACAGCTATTGACGGTCTACCATTCCACTTTTACAATGAGTTCTCAGGAAATTCGTTTCACTTAGCCAAATCAGCAAGTCTTAAATCGTTCACGTTGGTGTTCATATCTGTGCTCATTGGTTTTAGATGCTACCATACTGCAGAACCTCTCCGTAATGATGTTTTGCTCATCAACGCCGCTGGTCTTGGGACTGTTGATGATATTGAAGATGTTTTCGGGAATTGTGGCCGCCTCCACCCAGCAGGATTGGTTCGTAGTAGCAGCAAGAAACTCCAAACGAACCGAGGTAGGCTTGTAAAGTATTACGATTTTGCCATATTCTCAATAGTCCAGACTTGAAATTTCTTCACGAACTTCTTCATTTGACGAGAGAAAGGGTATTATTATGCACCAACAGTTTGAACAAACTCTATCTTGAAAAAGAGTGAGTCTTATGACAGTCTGGTACAAAATATTCCTTTCCCCCATCACCATTATTACATTTTCCAAGTTTCAGTTCACGGAACGAATATCTATTGCCACTCCTTTTGTTAGCCCGGATTTTCCCCTTAGAAGCCAACTTAATTATGAGTAAAGGTTGACGCTTTTGCCTGATGTGAACAAGTATAAGGCGTCTGGATTTTGCGTTGGCAAAAGCGATTTAACACCCTAATCTTCTTTCAATAATTCACATAACCCACTTCTTAAAGACCTGTCGCTGGGTAAAAAAAAGGATTCACCTGATGTAAAATGAATCAGTTCTATATCCTTATTGCTTTTTTCGGCTAATAGGGCCCAGGCAGTAAAAACCACCCAGGGTGAAGTTTTGTTCGGAATCGAATATCGGCCTACATCCAGAATAATTTATTGCTTGTTAGTTTCGACAGAGAAACGTGTTTACAAGATACTGATTGATGGAAGCCAGATCACTGTATTTTTATTCTTTTTATTCCATCACATGATTTTTTTAATAGTTGATTCTCTCTATAGCCGGAACACGAAAATGTAGCACTGAAATAAATGAAATGTATAATGCAATGGACATATTTTTTGAAAACATGCATGCTCGCCTAACTCGTACGCCATACCCTGTAATGTTATTTTTTTTATGGAGGGTGAGTGGACGTCCTTCTGTTAGCGAAAACACTCCTGGAATTCCAGCTGTTTTCCCATAGAAAAGCAAGACAAGAAATTGTATATAACCGTCTCCGTTTGTTTGTTTTTGGAAAGCTCCCCAAATAACTTTGCCCTTGGACCCTCGGCTTCTCACAATGGACCTTTTTTTGTGTCAGCTGTGTGCATTGAGGGTTCAAAACCCTGGCAACAAAAGGTTCCGTTCAAGGGAAACCTTCCCTGAAATTTGGAGTAGTGCCAATAACAATGTCTCAACTTCCATAGATGGTGGTTGGAATGCCACTGTTGTGTTTTTCGCCACTTGAAGAAAAAAAATGGAAGACAAAATTTGTCATTGACAAGCAGGTATCCCGTGGATACGCAAGGTCAACGTGCATAAATACAGTGGACAAATTAAGTTGTTCAAAATTCAGTATTCAACATTTTGTCTGGTTTCTTGCGAACAAACAAACTGAACAGACGCAAGGTAGCCACGGGAAATTTGAATGCACGTTTCTGAAATTTGAGGACTCTTGACATTCATGCGAAGGTCACGGGAGTGACATGACATAATACGCTGAAGGTCGCGAAAGGTGAAAGAGCAGTCGTTCCATAAATTGCAATACGATCTGGCAACATTGATATTGCAAGTCGTTCGTTCATAATACAGCACTTTCACAATAAAGTTTACACAATTACATTATACAGGGCCACATGCGTTTTACACTGCAAACCGCATTTTGTTGAATTTAAAGATGATCATTTGATTTTCATGCATTGTATTTATCTTTCATTAATAACACCACTCACAATCCAAAGAAGAAAGATAAACACCTAAACTGTTTAAATTTCAGCTCAGTGAGTGCTTTTTGGGAGAACGAAAATAAGTAAGATTTGAGTCTTTGCATGGTGGAGATACTAAATAATGACAGGTTTGCGAAAACACCATGTGCGAATAATTTCTCAACTAAGAGAATGGTTCTGAAAAGAACCAGAGGTATAAACTCGACGTTCCGGTCAGTATGCTCTGACACTGTCCTGAAGACGGTCAGAGCATACTGACCGGAAAGTCGAGTTTATACCTCTGGTTCTTTTCAGAACCATTCTCTTAGTTGAGAAATTATTCGCACATGGGGTTTCCGCAAACCTTTCATTATTTAGAACAAAAATAGTATGAAAACCCATACACAACCTTTTAATCACTAAACACGATTTCGTCTGTTAGCACTCTTTACAAAAAAAAACCTCAATTAGTTGATCTTGGAAAGCACCTACATTTCTTGATTTCTTATGACAGAAAGCCAGACGGAATAATTTCACGAGGTGCTTAGTACTTGTATCCAAGTACAATTTTTGATAAAACTTCGGATTACTTTTGAGATAAATGCAAATGATCTTATATGCATTTAAGGGACACAACATTGGGAATCGAAGGTTAGGGACAGAATTAAATTCAAAATTTCATTCCCCATTGGGGGAAAATGTCATTATCCTCAGCAATCGTTCGTCAGTCGACAGGGCCTGTTTCTGACAAGAAATCAAGGGATATTTACGTATCTTTAGATTTTCCTTTGTCTCCTTACAATATTATGAATGCTTCACTTGGCAACATATATGAATAAGGATCAGCAAACTTAGAATGGCATAATTGTCATTTATCACTGTATTCAGAATGTATTTGTGAGGAGTACGCATAACTTTATAATAAGCATCATCAGTATTCATCTGACGCAGACAGAATGAGTATTATTGTTTCAATGAGTTTTCATTTTGACGATGACACTGACAGTGGTCCACATCAGACATCTAAATTCAAGGTCTTGTTAACTGAGGTTTTTCTCCATGAACGGTGTTTCTCGGTTAAATTCATATCAATTATTGTTGACATTTCTCACGACACACAGATGCCGACAAATCCAGTTCGAGTTAAAAGGCAATCGATATCCGTGAGTATTACACTAGAATAATTAATAGATAATTAGTTGCCTCAGTTTGTCGCATTACCAACAGGAAACGAACTCTTCGACATAAATTAGTTCAAATACGCCACAATAATTTCCCTTATTCCACTACGTACATCTCATCCTACCCCAGCCCCAGCCCACCCCCACCTCAAAAAGTTGTATTATCGTGGGTGCTGATGTTTTATAAAAACCAAAAACATATATCATCATCATCATGCTGTCGGTCGCGTAGCGACAAAGACTGCTTCCACATCCTTTGACAGCAGCTCTCCCAGGCATCTCTTTGGATAGCTAGAGATGACCAGGACTTTGTGTTGATATTCCTCTGTTTTAAGATTCCTCTTGACAGTATACTTGTAGAGGAGGTGAGGGCGGGCTCGTCTTCTCACCCCAACAGGGTGATTAGTGATGTTCATTATTTTGCTTGCTGATCACATTCGCCCAACAGAACAGGAATGACGTACGACAGTTCGAAGTCGAGAGCAAGATAGCCGTACGATTCGCCAGCACGACCATCACCAGTCGCATCAGCAACCGTGCTTCGTCGTACCAACCGCTAAACTTCATTCTACAGTTGCCACTGAATGCGTACATCGCCAACTTCTCACTGTAAGAAGCCTTATGAATAATAATGATGAGCTTGTGTCTCCAACAGCCACGAAGTTTACTCCGTAAATCTATTAATATCAATTTTTTGTTAATTCTTTTCTTAATGAAAGAAAGCTGCATTCTCATTTTTTGTTTTTAATTTATAAGGGTTTATTTCCCGATGGTTTGCGCCGATTTTTTTTCGTAGTCTGCCAGTGTTTAGGTCACACAAAGTAGATTAAATTAATTAAAGATTAATTTAAACTGTATTACTTTACTCCATCAAAAAAAGAGCTAAATTATCGTTTGAATGTGTGTGTGTTTGTTAAACTTGTCCCTTCGCATTTTCCTTTTTTAATTAAACATTATTAGGAACTTTTTTTTATTTTGTATTTATTGCAAGTTGTATGGTCTTGAGCTACTGTGCATATTTACATTATATTCTTTCAAATAATGTTTTGTTGTTGTGTGATCTTTAAAGTGTTTCTTTGATAATCTATCATTATGAAGGTCGGAGGATGAGAAAAATCCGTGAAAAAAAAGCAGGAACAAAGAACATGCATGTTTCGTGAAATTCAAGAACTGCACAGTCGCGGCTTAGTTTACAGCAACCCTTATAGGTGCCATTCGCCATGCACCAAATAGTATTGACATTTTTAAACAGTTCTTGAAAGTGCCCTTTCTGAGAAAGCATGAACTTGATTCGAATTTCAGGGAAGCAAACGGCGTAACATACTACGGCAGAGTGAGGGATAAGTGTGACGGAGAAGACGAGAATACATTCGATGCATCTGGCAGCCTGTCCACCGGACGAATCACTGCCCTGTGAGTTCTGCAAAATTGTCCTCAGTTAATCGTTTGTCTCAGCACTTCACATTTTTGTGGGGGTGGTGTCCCACTCCAAGGTCCCGTTTTTTGGCGATGTTCTCACCATTCTTTGTTATTCTGGCCTGTTTTCTCTCTGAAAAGAAAACACAATCCTTCCAAGAAAATGTTTTAAAGGCCTACACGTTCCCCCATAATGAAGCAAGGATTTCGTTTGTGGTATTAATGTAGACCACGTCACATTTTGTTTACAAAATTTGATGTTTTGGTCACGTGCATGCCAACTTCCAGCGAACTGATTTTTTATGCATCGCATGTGTACCGCTTTAAACAAGAATGGTTTATTGTGGGCTAAATAACCTGTATAAAACGGTTAGATTGTCCGACGATTGCCTGTGGGTATGACTTCACAGTTGGCATGGTCGATAAAACTGTTGAAAGGGAACAGATATTATAGATGCCAATTTATAACCTTATTTTTTCAATGCTTTTTATGTTTTAGTTTCTCACATGCCGAAGATCTATTTCAGAGGCATGTTGGTTTTTTAAACTATGTTAAATTGCGTTTATTGTTTACAGTTTTTTATTGTAATAGCAAGTTGCTATAGCTTATTTCAGGCTGTCAGTCATTCAATTAAACCACCTTGACTTTGTATCTATACGCAGAGATCCGAACCGAAACACGTTCATGGTGTCGGTCAGCGTAGCACCTGGAGACACAATCGGTGTCATGGTCAATTATCAAGAGCTTCTGGAGAGAATCCAGGGCTGGTACACACAGAGGATAAGCATCAACCCACAACAGGTGAAAATCGCCAAACTATGCATCAAACAAACGGATGTGCTTTAGAAAAATGAAACTTCACTCTTAAGAACTATGTCCATGCGTCCAGCGTATGGAACGTAATGTTATCGTTGCTACCATATAGGCCTATACTTCACACTCCCAGCAAATTGACTGCTGACAATGTTTCGTTGTTTTCCTGCCGTACAGTAGCCTGTTTTTTTTTTCCGGTCGTGTGCTCCCAGACATATTCCATTAGACCACGAAAATTTGCTTGAACTACAGGGATGTTACATGATCACGTTCGCCAGATCTCATTTTTAGATATTTAGTTGATTGAGTTTAGCTCTGACTATACTTTCGGTCTCATTTGACATATATAAATTACTTTGGCGTCCATTAATGTGACATTATTAACGTGTGTTAACGTGACATTATTATAGGGAGGTAATGTAACTAATGGCCCATGGGGTGGAAACGTGACCCCCTGTACCCCCTTGTGCTCCCATGCTCAGAATTTGAGCAAGCAAGTGCTCGCTGCTATAATTGGACCCAAGTTACGCCACTGGCTTTTCTATTTGCTTCGATATTTCTAAAGATCGTCAGAGACTTTCGCATCAAAGCTTACGTCACCGAGCCGCAAGGCATCACGAAAGTTGAATCTGGCATCCTGCAGACCACTGGAGGTGGATCGGGTGGCAGCGGTGGGATCTTCGGCTCTAGGAGCTCCTACACGTCCCTTGACGACTACATCCGGAGGATTGGGCGGTCGCGGGTCACAGTGGAGTTCTTCCCGACCTCACAGGAGCAGCGGGCCGTCGGGGGCGATTCCGGGATCAACGGGGATTTCATTATACGATACGATATCCAACACGATTACGGTGTTGGGCAAGTTCAGGTAAAAAATTGTGTACCTATGTTTTCCATACTCTTGGGCGTCGCGGGGAGAGGGGGAGCAAGGGGGAAGGGGGAAGACAATAGTCTTTTAGCAATAAATTGCTGGACAGGTTTTTTAAATGCGGCTCTGTAAATATATGTATACAGTATTTGAACAGCGCCCAGAAGTGTCAAATTATGGTCCCCCCCCCCGTGTTTCCATGGCCTGTGAGTGTTTTACCTTCTGTAGAAAACAATCATGGCGATCAGGCCCATGTCAATACTATTGGTGCGCCGGCGTTGATACGATTAAACGAATCTCCATATTTTGTGAGTTACCCCTCCTGTACTTCGGGGTTTGGGTATGGATTGTGTTGCTTTTTGGATTGTGCTCTCCCATAATGGAGCCAGTCCCCGACAAGCTCAGTCAGTGGCAGAGGGCGTTACGTTATCCAGTCCTGGAAATTTAGAACTCAGTCCCGAGGAATTCTGAGCATATTTCACATGCGCCATGTTCAGACTAACGCAGCTTGCCAGGCATCGGTTACATTTAGAACCAGTTTTGAACCAAAACTTCATTGTTTTTGCTACAAAACGTTCAATCCTTTCTATCTCCCAGACGTCCGATGGGGTCTTCGTCCATCACTTCTCACCCGGCGGTCTTGGTCCGATACGCAAATCCGTGGCGTTCGTCATCGACGTCAGTGCCTCCATGTTCGGCCGCAAACTGAACCAAACCAAGGAGGCCTTGTTGACCATCTTGGACCAGATGCGAGCCAACGATCGCTTCAATATCATCACCTTCTCCGATGAGGTAAGATTAAGCAATCGTTTACCATTCACGAAAAGTGCCATAGGTCTCGGTGTCCAATTTGTTTTGAATTACAGAGATTCCTTTTCCATATTTAACCCCTTCAGGTTTATATCCGGGATATCTCGGCCCTTGTGGTGCACACTTTCCCTTACCGAACTGGACTGCTACAATAGCAGTCCAATAGCAGTCCAATAGCATGTGCATGCTATTATAGCATTCACATAGCATTCACAGAAGATGATGACTTGATGAATGCTAACTTTAGCAGTCCATATAGCATTCTCGATAGCATGCAGAATGAAAATAGCATTCCAAATAGCATGCGAGCTTCAAAGCATTCCACATAGCATGCAAGTGAAAGTGGGAGGACTAAAAATTGAGTATAGCATTCCAATTTAGCAGTCAGTTGTAAAATAATTTTAAAGTATAGCATTTCGTGGCTCAGCATAGCCTGCAAACAGCATTCCAATATATAAGCCTATCGTATCATGGACTACAAGTCACATGACACAGTGATGACCTTCCATTCCACAGATTAACGGTCAGTGTGGGAAATTTGAAAACTGCAGTCAGTTGAATATTGTCAGCGCAGAGTGCAGTAGGCTGCACATAGTCTTGCAAGAAATTGTAGAAATCATGGACATTAGCTTATGGTATGAATGCTTGTGGACATAATTTCATGTTCACATGCATGCACTCAACCTGTACATGACAAAATACATGTACACTGGATGATTGGCTGAATGGACTAAAGTCTTTGGAATTGACAACTTCAAAGCAACAGTTTGGAGGCCTCCATACACGTGCAACACACTCACAAAACAGCTTGTATTTGGTAAGTGTACAGTTTTGTACTACTAGGCTGTGGTGGTATTCAATTTTTGGCTTGATGAAGACAATTTTATTTTGGTTTTGAGCATGCTGGTGTTCATGGTGTTGAGATGTGAAGTCTTATTTATAAACATATATTCCTTAATTCCTCCATGATTGAATTTTTGAATCAGCTACATTTTGAATGAAGCACAAATACATGTAATTGTTTTTAAATTGTGATGCCAAATATAAAAGTGACAAGTGGTTGCTTCAAAGATAATTCAAATTAAGCAGAAATAGTTGCATCAAATTTCTGGCCATTGCTTAAAGCATGACAATGTTAGACAAAGTGTTTCGATGTTTGTACATGTACGTACACCAAAGAATGAGGCTGATAAAGTCTTAAAGAACAAATGTGTTGTTAAAAATGGTTCAGTGCATAACATTATTAGATAAAGCTTTAACACGGGAGTTATTTTGGGTGTATTGTGACATTGAAAATGTACTTTGTAAATTTTATGTAGGATGCCCGGCCCTGTCCTTGTCACGATAGCAGTCGTGATAGCATTCACATAGCATTCATCATAGCATGCAATATAGCATTCACATAGCATTCACATAGCATTCACATAGCATTCACATATAGCATTCACATAGCATTCACATAGCATTCCAGTTGCATGCTATGAAAGCATTCGTAATAGAATGCGAATGCTATAGCTCATTTAAATAATTCGGCTTCCTGACATGCTATCGGACTGCTATCGGACTGCTATACCTCAATGAATGCTATATGAGAATGCTATTGGAGATAGCATTCATTTATAGCATTCGCATGCTATGCGGACTGCTATCGGACTGCTATCGGACTGTTATTGGACAGCAGTCATGTTAAAGGGTTACAGCAAGAAGGATCAACTAGTCTGGGGTGTCAAATGCATGTTGTGGCAGACTGCTCATAATTACACCCTATAGCTACGCATACTGGCATGCGAGTAAAATTAATGACGTAACCCAAATGATAAGAGTAATGAAATTAATAGAGATTTGACTTGGCCTTGGCTGGTGGTAACTCATGGGTTATCGGGAATTATCTACAACTGCCTCCATAGGCGCAGGTGTAATTGCAAGGTGTAACCAAGTAGTCCGAACGCGGCCATAGACAGACTACACAGATTGTGTTTGTGGTCACTAATGAGATAAACATACAAGAATAGCTAACGATGCATTTGTTGGTTTCAAATCATGATGTGACATGAATGCTAAAATAATGGAGGTGGAAATAATGTTCAAATCCGGAGGAGTATCATTGTCTCACTGCTTACATGTGGCTTCGCAGGTGTACTACTGGCGAGATGATCAGATGGTAACGGCTTCCTCTTGGAACATCAACCTAGCAAAAGACCATGTCCGGTCCTTAACGGATCTAGCAGGTGAAAACAATTTATAGCGACTTACGAGAGGGCTTCAGTTTTACCTTTTCCATGAACATATTTGATTAAACTGGGTTTTTTTCAGCGGGATACTTCTCATTCCAAGCACAGCTACAGTGGTCTGATCCCTATTAAAAGCTCACCTTAACAAATTACATACTGACGAAGATGCTGGTTTCAACTTGAATAGCTGATTGAGGGTTGGGAGAGTAGAGGTCACGATTTTGTTACAGAATTTCGCTAGAATGTTATATTATTTATAAGAAAAGCACCTGTGCTCACATATTCATATCTGTAATTCGCAACACCTATGTGTGAAGTGCTAAGTGATTTTTTAGATAGTGCTTTTTAATAATCGATTATCTCACAGGTCCTCACAAGTCATATCAAGTCAACCATAAGTCTAAGAAACTGTTCGAATGAACTGTGACAAATGTTCAACCTCTGTTACTTATGGCTTGTGATTGACTTGTTAAATAGATTGACTTGATTGTCATCTTTTCAATCCCAGGCACCAACTTGAATGACGCCATGATCGAGGGACTCAACCAGCTCCGTTTGGCCGGTGCCATGGAGCCAATCTCGGCAGCCAACCCGGGCGTCTGCATCCTCTTCGTGCTCACGGACGGCGCACCGTCAAAGGGCGTCACAGACACGCGCACCATCGAGCGGAACGTGCAGGACAGCAACCAGGGTCGGTGCTCGGTGGTGACGCTGGGATTCGGGGCCGAGGATGTGGACTTTAACTTCCTGGCACGGCTGGCTCTCGGGAACAACGGGGTGGCGAGGAAGATCTTCGAGAACTCAGCGGTGTCTCAGCAGCTGATTGGTCTGTAGATTGCCTTTTTAGAATCATGTACCAAAATTTGTGACAATGAAGATTGAGCTTATGACATTGGTGGTTTGAATTGTCTCGGTCTCGACACGGTGGATCTAGGTACTTGTATGGAACATGGTGTAATCGTGCTAATAACACTAATAAAGACGATGATAAGAAAACTATTACTATATTGATGGGGAGCAATTTCCTTGCAATTGGCGACAAGAGGCTTTAAAACGATTACGTTTTTGCGCAAGGGGAGCTTAAATACTGGCGCATATGCGCCAGCCAGAGACGAAGACACGATATTTCATTTCGAGCGTCGAATTAAGGCAATTAATTCCATACTTGCGACGTTTTTAAGAGTGACATGTCCTCTGTGTGTTTGCACCTAGAACTGAATATAGCTATGCCTGCATAAGCACTTGCCATTCGCTTCAGTCATTTGAGTACTCTCTGGCTTCTTTCCAAAAATCCCGTTCTTATCCCAATGTTGTGTGTGGTCTTCAAAGTATCCTTTTGCCATCTGGATGCCTAGCAGGGTATTCAATGCAACCAGGCTGTCTTTCGTAAAACAACCGGGATCTGCTTGTTCCATAGGTGTGTACGACGAAGTTGCTACGCCCCTTCTAGTGAACGTCGCCATCGAGTATCTGGGTAACATCGTCGATCGCGAGTCACTGACTAAGACCCTCTTCCAGAACTACTTCGACGGGTCTGAGTTTGCCATCAGCGGTCGATTGGCCAACCTGCTGGCTGCTACCCTACCCATCAGAGTCACTGCTATCAGTGCTACGGGGGAAATAACCATCGAGGAGTATGTGCCTATCACAAATGTAAGTTACATTTTGGATGACATATTTTTCCCCCGGAGTTTTCAATGTCTTCTTGCAAAGATGGCAACATGCTAATTTATTAAGAAATGAAATGCCAAGCTTCAGGTAAAGGGTTCTACATCCAGGAAAATCTAAATAGCCTTGTAACCTCCTTGGGACAGTGAAAACTCAGACTTTAAAAGTGTCAAGATTGAAACCTAAGGCTATCAAAGTCACTTCATTATAACCCATGAAATGTAAATGAGGTTATTCTCTACAATGACATTTTGCTCAAAGCGTGACAAAAGATTATTCACTGTAGGTGTGGTTTTGGAGTGAGCTATTTGGAGAACCGTTGATGAATATTATAAGTGAACACTGTCGGAACTTTCACTTTCAGTTCTGGAAAGGAAGTAAATTTAAAATTCCGGCTCAGATAAAAAAAAAAAAAAAAAAAAAACAACTGAGATCAATTTTAAATTTATGTCAGAGAGATCATTTCTCCGACTCGCCCTACGTGCCACCCGAAGCTGCCGAGCGCACGGCCGCCTTCATCACCCTGGTCCAGCTCTTCAATCAGTACACTGTCTCGGACAACCCTCAGGAGCAGCGGCGCATCGTGGACAGGACCCTACAGCTCTCGGAGCAGTACAACCTTCTGACGCCGCTCATGTCCATGGATTTCGCGAGCACCCCAGCGACCACGGGAGGGGGCGGTAGCCGGGGCGGCACCGCCGCTGTACCGCCGAGCCTTCAGTGGGGGATCAGCGGGACGGCCTACGGAGAGCCGAGCCAGAGTCGCACGTACGGGATAGGGGGCAGGATATGTACTTACGTAAGTTTTTTTTTATTGGAAGCTAGGACCCGATCTCACAGTGCTCCTTAACATTAAAAAAAAGTGCTAATGGTTAATATTTTGCTGAGAAAAAAATCAGCGTGGAACCGGACCAGTCACCAAAAACATTAATACAACATTCTAGCTCGAATTAAGTCGCATGGTGTAGGGGCAGGATATGTACATACGTGGGTTTATAAAGCATACAGGGACCAGTTTTATTTGGATGATCTTATTAAGCAAAAAAACAGGTTGAAACTAGTCACTAGTCAACGGCGGATGCGGGGAGGGGGGGGGGGGCAACTGGGGCCATGGCCCCCCAAAATACGAACGCAATTTTTGTTTAAGCAACGTCGCAAAAAAGGCAGTCATTGCGTTCACAACCCACAACAGAAGCGTTTACACCCCTCCTCTTACTTTTAATATTAAATTTGGGAAGGAAAATACTTGGACCCACTTTTTCTGGAACGAAATGTTTGTTTCGTCCCCCCCCCCCCGGAAAAAAAAGAAAATTGTGTTCTAGGTCTGGCCTTGTTCCAAGTAGTATACCTGATGTAACATTTTAGTTGGAAACCTTTGTTTGCGAAGTGGAATTAAGTTTAGGCCATGAAACTGGTCACTGTACTCGGTAGATGCCACCCTCACGTGTGCTGAAGTTAACATCTTACTTTTTTCTGAAGACGCTCTTGGCAAAAATTGGGCTATGCTTGATATGTAGTTATCACTGCATAATGTTGTGTGCCTTTCCACATGGAGCTGTGGTAATGTGGGTAATGAGAAGTTAATGGAAATTGTCATAAAAAAGTGACTTCTGATCAAAGCAGAGGCTACTGGTCTTTGAAAAGAAGTCAGCGTGTCATAGGTAGTTGTTTTTTTTAGACACAGTGTCATCACACTTCCGGAAAACCTTTTTTTGGCAACATTTCTTTTGACGTTTTATTTGCCAACGTTTATATCGTAGATCCTACAGGTTTTATCAAGGAAGGGGGGGGGGGGGGTGTTGAGTCATATGATAAGTGTGAGCTGAGATGTCGTGGGTTATTTGCCAACTTACCCAGGGGGTGATCCAGAACACAATTTTTGGGGATGCCAAAAACATCTGTTGTTCCCCGAAAAAAAACTTTCCGCCCCCACTTTAATATGAAAAGTAAGGGGGGGGGGGGTACTCGGGCTCTTAATGGCATTGGTGCATGGTGGTGCAATTTTAATGCTGCCCTCCGATAATCTCATTTTCTTAAACAGGCCTATTAGTGGTGCACTCAGTCATTGCGGTTACCAGTTGTTTCTGCGACTTACAAAAAAAACAACAACAACAAACTAACAAAAACGGTTCTTAGCAAAAGTGTTCGTCTCAAAATTGAAGTTTTAGTTTCAAGGGCGTCAATCGCTTCTGACCACTTAAACAAAATTCTTTTAGCGAAACTATGGTGTATGCAGTGGTTGCATTGTTTGCGACGTGACTAAAAAAATGGGGTTCGTTTTTTTTTTTGGGGGGGGGGGCATTGTCCCGTTGAACTTACCACACCCCATCGTATCCGTGATCCACTCTTTGGTAACGGAATGTCTTTCTCCTGCTTCCAAGGAACCAGAAAATGTGATCGATCTTGAGCGTCTGCGCATCCATTCCGTCATCACCGACCGGTATGCTAGGACCACCGTGACTGGCGAGGTAGCCAACCGGGCAGCTAACCGGCAAGACGTGCCCTTCACGCTGCATATCCCGCCCGGTGCTTTCATCTCAGACTTCTCCGTGTAAGTCACAGAGGGGATAGTTTAGTAAAGGATTAAATAACTGATGGTATGAGGATCATTACAAAATGGATCATTATCGGTACTTATGGGCTGCTTGAATAAAATACACTCGTGGGATTTGGAAGGAGCTGAGTTTGCTTTCTAAATCTGTCGAAATTAGGCAACTCAGAAACAGCATGTTTACTGCGAGTCTGATTTCCAAGGAAATATCATTTAGAGGAGATGTAATTTACAGTACCCAAGTTCTTTTTTTTTCAGCAATAGTACGGCAGATAGGTGATAGGATTGTGCCTTTGATGATTAATACAAACATGGAATTTGGCACAGTCAGAATATGTCATGAGAAAGAGATTTGGCTATAGGGCCCTTTCAGATTTGTCATTTGAAAAAAATATAGGTAAAATAACAAGCGATGGCAGCCATTTTGGAAGTCGTGAATATTGCTTGTTATTCTACCTGCACTTTTTGAAGGACAAATCTGCGATGGCCCTATAGCCCAATATCTTTCTTATGACATACTCTGACTGTGTGCCAAATGCCATATGCTTGTATCATCAAAGGCACAATTTCCCCATATATTTTCCCTATCTGCCTGAAAACAAAGGAAACGTAAAAATGCGTCCAGGTGTTTTTTTTTTAAATCTGTGTGGGCCAAATTGACGTAGACATTAATTGTAAATCAAATATGAAGTCAGATTTTGTTATGAAATGTATGTGTCGTAAAGTCTTCAATGTTAACGCATTTCCTGCCTTGGAAAAGGTTGACTCTTTGGCGTTTTGTCATGATGATGTAGGAATGTCGATGGGCGTACCTATACCGGCCGAGTTGGTGATATCCGCAGCACGGAATGGCAGCGTCTCTTCCCTTCGAATGGCCAACAGCTAGCATTGGTCACAAGAAGGTTCGCATCCATCAACAATTCTTTTTAGCATAACCTTTACCCATCCCGCATCCTCTTTGTATTATACGCCTGTCTCCTGATCATAAAGGTGTAAAATGTAATGAGATCTATTTTTTTTTCAATTTAGATAATTCAATGAGTTGTTTGGTTCTACACGTGCATCCCATTCCTTTTATTCATAATCATGGTATGTACATTGTAAAGGGATCCGACCAAAGATACATTTACTGTGCAAGTCCTGGGCGTGGCCCCACAGTCCACCGTGACCTTTGACCTGACTTATGACGAACTGCTGGAGAGGAGGCGGGGCGTCTTCGGGCATCGTATCAAACTGTGGCCGGGCCAGGTGTGTCGATTGTTAATCTAATCAATCAATTAACTAATTGGAAAGAATTTGCAAAATTCCTTACTTCAGTACTAGACAATATAGCCTGCTCACTGTACTTAATTGCACTCTGTTAATTTTCCATTAGACTAGATTAAAACATATAGATCATTGTATTTCCCAGTTTGTTTTGGGAAAAAATATTTCAATTACGGGAAGCCTCTCTAAGAAACTACAGATGGTTTCAAAACTTTCGGATTTAAAAATGAAAGGCGGAATTCTGAAAATATTTTGACAAACAAAATTTAACGTATTCCATTTTAGGACTGAAACTGCCTTTCTACTTTTTTTATCTGAAAGATTTGCAATGTGTTTGGAGAACGTAGTGGATTTAATGCAAAATTGTCGGTTTGTTTCCATTCGTGTAAAGGCGGTAGATGATCTCCAAGTTGACCTCTACATCACGGAACCTCAGGGTATAAGTGATATTTCGCTCAAATACGACCCACGTACGTCTGAGGGTCAGGAGAAGACACTACAGGTGAGATTTTGTTCAACCAATTACTTTCTTTTCGAAGAACAGAAGACTGCGCGCATGCCTGCGCGGACTTTTTTCGTTATTTCAAATTTCAAAAGGAAATATCTCGTTTAAAATTAAGCCCTAAATAGAAAGAGTGAAAAGAAAATCAAACACTGAGTTTTTAGTTTTGAAAAACCTGAACACATGGGAATGGAATTTGGGAATGCAGAAATATTATTCACTCACAGGCTTTTTTAACTCATCTGGCTCTCTCTGCCAACGAAGGTCCAACACGTCGAAGGAGGAAAATAGAGGGCCCTAAGCCTTGGCTGCCGAGTTAGCAATCGTGCCTGGAACATGTGTGAATGTTCTCTCCGACTTGAGAATAACTCTGACATGAGATCTTACTGATTACAGTAAGGAACTGTTAATGTTCCATGGATGTAAACTGAATCTTTCATAGCAAAGGGACTAAGAGCGTGTGTTGAAAAACCAAGGATACCGGGTTCAATTCACCATTATGTTTCTTCATTTTTGTTGTTGGATTTTTTTTTAAATATACAGGTTCGTCGCAGCAGTGACTACCGTGCCCACATGCGCTATGCACCGTCGGCCGACGAGCAACTGACATACTCGCCTAATGGCCTGAATGGTGACATCGTGCTGGAGTACGATGTGGTTCATACCAGAGACGGCAGCTACACTGAGGTGAAAAAGACGGAAACAGAGACAGATTAACAAAAACTTTTGTCATATTTTGATGTGTAGAATGATATAGTTTAATCACTCTCTCTGCAGATCCTAAATCCCATCCTATCCAGTACCGCCCTCTGGTAGAGGGAGGGTGGCAGCCAAGTTCGCAGTTCATATCTCCAGGATTGGCGATCTTTGGCACGCCGCATAGCTGTACTGTGTGGATGCTGAGTCCGGTCCAATCCTTTATGTTGTCTCCCTTGGTTGCTTTGGTCGACCTCTCGATCTTTTCCCCTCCACTTTGCCTTCTAAGATCATTGCTCCTACAATAACTCCCCAGCACTTCCCCTTGCCAGATGTCCTAAGTAAAAGAGCTTCCTCCAGCGGACAAAAAAAAATATGAGGTGGTCTTTGGGCAGATTCTCAGCTAATATTGATTCATTTGTCCTTCTGTCGGTCCATGCCACTTGCGAAAGACGGCGGTAGCACCACATCTCAAAAGAGTTTATTCTTTGAGTATCTCTTTTTTTTTATTGTCCATGCCTCGCATCCATAATGCAACTGGGAATACAAGTGAGTGTAGGAGTCTGGATTTGGTTTAGATTGAAAGAGATCTCATTCTGAAAGATGTCCAGATGTCTGTTAACTTTGCTCTTGAAATTGCCAATCTTTTGTTGATCTCGCCTTCGATCCATCCACTCAGCTGTTGAATGAGCTCCTAGGTTTGTTAAGTCCTGTACTTGTTCAATAGCCTCACCGTAAAGTTGGATGTCAATATTGATTTCATTTTTTGAGCAGATCATCATTTTTGTTTTCATGACATTCATGTCGAGACTGTATTGTTGGCTTGCGTCGCTGATTTTTAGAAACAGGTCTTGAAGGCTGTCTTTTTCTTCTGCGACCAAAGCAACGTCCTAAATCCTGTGATCCCAAACTGAAAATGCTTATAGACGTGAGACATAATGACGTTACGCTTATGAGTTTCATTGTCGTTCTTTAGGTGCAAGACGACTACTTTGTGCATTTCTTCTCGCCGATCAGCTACCAGCATGCCGCCAAGTACGTCGTCTTCGTCCTTGACATCAGCAGCTCCATGGTCGGCACCAAACTCCGTCAGGTCAAGGAAGCCCTGAAGATCATCTTGGAGGACCTGGGTGCCAAGGATCGCTTCAACATCTTGGTCTTTTCAGATGATGTCCAGTACTGGAGGCGCAACGCGCTGGTGCCGGCCACGCGAAGGAACATCGAAGCGGCCAAGAGATTCGTGGACGATCTGATCGTGCAAGGAGGTGAGTCGCCCACACCCAAAGTGCGACCGTTCGATTGTAAATCTTTTCTACGATTTCTGACTGGGTCTTTAAAACATCAACAGAATCATATAAATATTGTGAACAAACCAAGAATGATTCCGGCATCGCAGGTAAAATGTATAGGCCTGCACCAAAGACCCAGCCGATCCATGGATCACAATCGATTAAGTGTTCTTCTTCTTTTCATATCTTCAAAACATCAGATGGTCGTTTTCCATTTGTCCACGTAATGTTTTGCGTTGATGGTGTACTTCGCGAGGTCTCTAGAGCTGGATGGGTGGGGTAGTAGTGGGCATTTGAGGCAGTGATCCATGGTGTGGTCTGCTCTCAGCACTACTCACAGATGATAGGGTCGGTCTTGTAACCCCATTGGGGGAGCTTTAAATCTACCAGTTTTTGTCCTCAGGCGATTGAGAGTTTCCCACTCGATCTATTTTGCTTCTGCATCAGGGGAGGTTTTCAGCAGAAGGGATTTTCATGTCGGTTAGAGGAGGGTCGGTTTGGATTCTTTCTCTCCAGTGGTTGGTTCTTGTTTCTTTTCCAGGGATGTTGTCAAGGCCTTTGATTTAGTGTTGTGATAATTGCTCAATGTCTTCTTATGTCAAAAACTCCAATATCCATTCAGGAGAATTTTCCTCTCTTTTAAAATAATCTAGTAAGACAACAACCACAAGGTTGATCCATGAAGACAAATCAATCTCTTACAATCACTTACAAATTTTATTTTTCAAAACTAGAAACTAATCTAGGCGAAGCCATCATACAAGCCGATGCGCTGCTGGACCTCCAGTCCGGTATCCACGCCGACAACGAGAACATCCTCTCGATGATGTACGTCCTATCGGACGGCCAGCCAACCATCGGGATCACCGACCCAGAGGAACTGGTCCGGACCGTCAACGCGGCCATCAACGGGGAGCACGCGCTGTTCTGCCTGGGCTTCGGTCGCAACCTCTCCTTCGACCTCCTGGTCCAACTGGCTCTCCAGAACAGGGGCTACGCCAGGCGGATCTACGAGACGGCCGACGCCAGCAAGCAGCTCCAGAGCTTCTACTTCGAGGTGAAGCTCTACTTCGAGGCTCATTATAGTACAACAAAATAAAACACATTCCTGCTTATACAGCAGTTTATACCAAGGACTCAAGGTGCTTCCCATCAACCTGTTCCTCAGGCGATGAGACGAGGTGTCTGCAGCAGATCAGAGGGAATTTGGCCTCTGCTGGGACGGGTGCCCTTTAAATAACTGGGTAGATAGAGTGCCATAGGCAATTGTAGTATTTATTTTATATCTTCGGACAAACATTAAGAACCGTCAAAAAGAAAAGTTGTCCGGATCTGGACGAAAGTTTGTTAAAACTGCCATCAATGATGTAAAAGCGTGATGTCCAAACACAAAAAGAAATTATTGTAATGCTTATATAGCGCTTTCAATCGTATCAACAATTTCAAAGCACGTTACAATAATTCTTCCGTTCATCAGGCCATGAGACCACGCGGCAGCCGATATCAGCAAACATTCGGGCCTCTACCCTCACAGGTACCCATTTATACTCCTGGGTGGAGAGAGGCAAATGTAGTTAAGTGTTTTGCCCAAGGGCACAAACGTCATGTTTGTGGTAGGGTTCGAATCCACGTACCATCGTACACGAGTCAAACATCGTAACCACTAGCAAAACGTTCATCGTCATTATTATTGTCATTAAATATTCTGTAATTATTTTTATTAGGTGTCCCGGCCTGTCCTCTTCGATGTGGAGATGGCGTACGAACCTGGCGTGTCCAATCCTGAGGATTTGTCGGTGCACTCCTTTCCGTTTTACTTCGAGGGATCAGAGCTGTCCGTGGCAGGACAATTCTTGGATAATCCCAGCTCCTACATCCTGGAGAGCAGCGTGAGCGGGACTACCGCAACCAGGCAGCAGTATCGCGGAGATACCCGGCATGACATCAGGGTAAGATATCCGCTGAAATAGGATCAACGATAGATCTTTATGTAGAGAAAGAAAGCTCGCGAACTTCATACCAGTACGATCGAACGCGGGTCTTTCCAAAAGGAAACTTAGAAAAGTTTGATATTCTAACTACGCATGCACAAATCAAGAAAAACCAGCTGACAAACGTTCAAAATATATGGGGGACTTTAAAACGAATCTCTAAATTGTATTTTTTATTAAGTTAACAAGATGGTCAAATAGTTTCCTCCAGAATACATTAGACAATAACAAACAATCTTTAAAAAGATGCAGTTTATTATTACTTTTGAACTTTGCTTTACCTAAACGAAGTTTTGGGAGACAGTAACCAGTCCTAAATCCTGTATACCATGACCGTATCACCGAATGTATGTTAACGTTTTGAACAAATATGTAGGACTTCTACATGATTTCATGGATTTTGACGAAACTTGCATGCAGTCACCCTTGGGTGGGAAGACACAATCGTTTTTATTTTGTCAAACAAATCGTTCATTGCAATTACGTGAAAGAGATGGAATCTCAATGTGCACATCTGCGATTCAATACCGACGGTAGCATATATCAATTAAGTATTGAGCATGGGGAACAACCTAACAAGTCGTCACTGTCATATTTCTGTATTCAATACAGATTTCGGCACCTGAACTTGAAAGTGAGAACACGGTACCTGACGTGGTGCAGCGTATCTGGGCCATCAAAACCTTCCAAGATCTCATCAACCAGTTTGCTGTCACCAAAGATCCAGCCACACGGCAGGCGCTGGCTGATAGAATTGCGTCCCTTGCGATCAGGTAATATGAAATTGTAGGTTTATGTTGCGTGTAAATGCAGATGGACTCGATCTGTCTGAAGCGCGCAGTCAGTCGTTAGATGCGTTAGGGATTGTATATTACTATAAAAACCTAAGTCAGACTTGCCAAAGCTGCTAAAAGATATGTCGGTGCTGAATTCAAACTGGCTGGTAAAAATTGTAAACTGCTTGTCCAATACAGCTTATCACATAGTGGTTATTGCAAACCGCAGTGGTTATTAAAAACCGCAGTTTTTGTAGTAAAGATAACTTCAATCGGCTTTGGAGTGTCATGGCCTTGCGGTTAAGACGCCGGACTCATGCTCTGGTGTTTCAGAGGCAACAGTGGCGTGGGTTCAAGCCCGCCGGATGGACACTTGTGCTCTTGAGCAAGGCACTTAACCATTATTGCTTCGTCCTTCGGATGGGACGTAAAGCCGTAGGCCCCGTGTGTTGTGTAATCAAATGCACGTAAAAGAACTCGGTTGACGCTACGGACCGATGTTTCTGGTCTCCTGTATAAACTCCCACGCGGAGTATTTAGGAGATGAACCAACCAAGAACCAAGAACTTTGAAGAAGTAAAATTAATGCCATGATAAAAACAGAACAGTCGCTGTTTTGTTTAATAATACGACACTTCCCAAATGCCCCAAATTACATCTTTTTATCTGATGAAAAAACCCATTGATTTATAATGATCGGTCCTCTTTAGCACACAGATATAACAAATAGAACCAATTAAAGCAGAGTTGAAGGCGTGGGTTTTTGAACTCGGGACCTTTTTACGCCGTTTATCACAATTGAGCAAAATTTGGACGGTACATGGATCAACGATCAAATCCCACCCAAATCCGTTTCTTTGTTTAATCTTCTACTAGTATAAACTAGGTCAAGTTACCTACCTTTTTTTGTTTAGGTATAATTTCGTGACGCCGCTGACTCCGATGTCGTTGTCTAGCGGGACCCAGCCTACGGGTAACGTACCGCCACCCTCCATCATACACACGGGGACTACTATGGATATACTCAGACGGTTACTGGAAGACCTACCGGGTAGGTATTCCGGAAAAAAAAAAGCAACAAGAAAAATGTTGATTATCGGGAAGGAAGAAATAATGTAAACTATGAGATGGAATGAAAAGTAGAAACCATAGAAATCGTTAATCGATGAAAAAGTTTCGTATATTTTTTTTCAGCTTTATTGATTTCAAGGTCTACTTTAAATTCCGTAACATGGTGATTCTGTTCCCCTTTTTTATCTGTTCTTTCTCTTTTTATGCTTTGTTTGCTGTTTTTGGTTTATGAAATAGAGGCATCATTAGACCGCCACACCGAAATTACCCTAACCGTTACTTCAAACTGATCTCCCAAACAGAAAGGCAATAGAAGTTACAAAAGTAGGAAGTAAGACTTAGCCAGCAATTATAACACAGTGAGATAGCAGACTTATTACACATTTTCATCCAATTAAGTATTGCATAAAACAAATATTTTTAAAACACTTACTTTATCACACAGTGAAACCACTAGTCACCGGAGACCCGTTTACTGTTGCTACAGAGAGCTCGGTAAGTTTTCATCTAAATGTCTGCAAGTTGCTTTAGACCATTTTCAAAACCTGGACTTCGTTTCGGATTTATCTAATGAATCTCTGGCACAATAGAGACCTTTACACTTGAAGAATGATTTCTGTCTACCTGGTCGGCAAACAGATACAGCAAAACAGAAAAAAACACTCACCCAGTGATTCATCAATTACATTAAAGTGACACCTGTTTTTATCACAATTTCAGGATGGTATAGACACCGAAAGTTTGACCGTCAACTCGCAGATTGCCTTGAGATTTGCCACTACCACCATCGGTTCTACCATGGAGAACACGGGCAGTAAGGCGGGATGGGCCGTCTTCAGACAGAAGATTCCTCTACAGGCGTTCATCACAGATTTTACCCTGTATGTATTAAAACAAAGGTTTCATCATATTATTATGATCTCACACATGTCTTGAAGGAATTGGTATTCATTTATTACACACGCCCAAAAAGCTTAGGTTTTCAAAACAAACACATTTCACAATCAGTGTTGCCACGACCACTGCTCAGATACTATTTATGTATTTCGTCCTCCATAAGCATTTGTGATAAGTTTAAGCTATAATGATTTCTGGTTTGTCCAACAAGGGTCTTGGACGGCAAGACGTACCATGGTGTCGCTAATCAGAAGAGTCGCAACGTCAGCCTACAGAGCGGTAATCTGGAACTCTCAAATGGCGGTGGCTTCATCACCGAACTGTGAGTCAACATCTGAACAAGGGCGGATCCAGGGGGGGGGCCAAAGGGGGCCATGGCCCCCCCAAAACGAAACCAATTTTTTTTTTTTTATGTGACATTGCAATAAAGGCAGGCAATGAGTACACCACCAGCTTTTCCTCAAAAAAAATTGCTTAAAGTGGTCAGAAATTGCCTCAGATCGCACCACAGAGCATCTAGAATCCAAAAAATTTTCGGGGCCCTTAAGCGGGCCCCGAACCCCACGCCGTAATTTTTTGACCCACTTTTTTGGGGGAACAAATTTTTTTTTTGGCCCCCTCCCCCCAAATTGTGTTCTGGATCCGCCCTTGCATCTGGAACTAACATTTTGATGAAGGATTCGGAATGATTGTCCAGTAAAATTGAAAGAAGCGGAACATTTCTAGAATGGTTCGCTGAGGCACAGGCTCAGTATTCTCCAGACTTGTATGACTCGTGACTCCGACTCGGACTTGATTCCGACTCGAGTCCCATTTCCCACGATTCGGACATGCACGACTTGAGTCACGATGACAATGACTCGAACTCGGACTCGACCCGACGGACTCGGATTCCGACTCCGACCCGAGTCACGATGACAAAAAACACGAACACGGACTGAACCCTGCGGACTCGGAATTGGACTTGACCTGCATGACTCGGGACTCAACCAAAATGACAACAAATCACTTATTTTTTTCAACAATATAATTACAACTTATTTTGAAGACGATCCTCTTCTCAGCAAATAATATAGTTTGAGCAAATGATGCGGTGCAGAATAAACGCATCTAACTGTTGTGTACGTACACAGCGCGTGTGCATGCGACTGGCTTGTTTCCTATACATCGATTTGGGAAATCAGCACATGGCACTGGTGCCATGCCTTATTTAACATGTTATACATGTACGTATTTGCAGTTCATTAAATAGAGAATATTTATTTCCAATTTACACTATGTATACTAAAGGTGACTCGTGACTCGGACTCGCACTTGATCTTGGTGACTCGTGGCTCGGACTCGGACTCGACCAGCATGACTCAGAACTCGGACTTGGACTCGATGTTTGATGACTCGAATACAAGTCTGGTATTCTCAATACATTGAGTTCAAAACAAGACGAACATTTGAAAATACTATAATGATTTTGAGGCAGTTTGGTTCTTTGGTAAACAGTTATTGCTCATGTGTTGCCGATGACGTTGTTGACGTCATTAATCTTCTCCTGCCGTTACAGGGATCCGGAGAGCAAAGTCTTCCTCGTGTCCGTCAAACTTGAGCCCGGTGACTCGGCAGAGTTCTCGCTAAGTTACCAGATGCTTCTTCCGAGACGGAGGGGCATGTTTAAACATGTAGTCGGCCTTTATCCTGGACAGGTGATGGGGTTTATTTTCATAAATATGGTACCATTTAGCATTCAATAATTATGAACCCTATACAAAGACATACCGGTAGGCCCTGCGCTATAGTGCCCTTTATAGTAAATTGCCCAAAGATGTGGAGAACTGTGGCCTTCTAAGTTTTACACATTGTGTACATGATGCTTACTTATAAAACTTACAATTAAAAGCCCTGACACATATTGACCAACATTGTGAAGTTATCCATTCCCCTCACAGTAACGTATCTGGGGCGAGGTTGCTACTCCTCCCCCACCCCTACAACCCGTTTAGCTGCTGAAAATGTTTGATACTAGTAGAATGTGGCCAAAACAATGCAATTTGACTCAAAGTTCCTAAATTTATTCATATTGGTTTATATTTTGGCAGAGGGCATCCTCAGGACCCCATAGCAGGAGCACGCCTTCACCCAAATATCAAAGCCCCAAGTCTCCATGAGTTTTCTGAAAGCTATAGACCCGCCCCTGCCTGATGTACTCAACGGACAATTTGTTCTCTGCCATCGTTTATGGATGAGAAAAAGACGTGTGTCGTCATTATAATAGGGTGTTGGGTCCTTCTTCTGTGTTATTACAATACACAGAAATGTTTCATTCGTTTCATTCACTGTCGTAGGTTGTGAACAACTTGGCGGTGGATGTCAGCATTATCGAGCCCCAAGGGGTGAACATTGCCAACGCCTACCTGACCGATCGCTCCCAGGGCGACAGTCTGGCCCGCCTCCCACAGCTGATGTCCCGCCTAAGTAAGAGCAAGTGGAGGGTCAGGTACCAGCCCACCAGGCAGCAACAGCAGCAGCTCAGCTCGGAGGGCATCATGGGAGATTTCACAGTTGAGTATGACGTCATCCATGCGAATGATGCCGGCGACATACAGGTTGGTGTTTGAGTGGGTTTTTTTTTCAAACCTGAGATTTGACGTCGGTTTTGACTTGAGATTCAGGCTCCGATGCGGGAGATATATATTTATATCGTGTATCAACGGTAACAGGAACTAGACAAAATTGGCTCATACATTACAACCCTACCGTATTTCATTATTTGAAATATATGGGGAAAACACACCTCTCACTCGGGCCAGTTTGGTATGACAGAATATGAATATAAAAAGCCATAATGTCAGATATCTATACCAGCAATTTAGAGTTTTGCTACTCACGTTGGATCACTAGCTAGGTGCTCTCCGTTAATGATATTATTATGCGTATCTCCTCTTTCCTTTAGGTCCTGAACGACTACTTTGTCCAGTTCTTCTCTCCAAGTGGTTTGTCCGTGCTCCGTAAGCATGTCGTCTTCGTCATCGATATCAGCAGCTCCATGCAGGGTACCAAGCTGTCTCAGGTCAAGGCGGCCCTCAAGACCATCCTGGACGAGATCTCGCCGGGAGATAAGTTCAACATCTTACCCTTCTCCAACCAGGTGGAGTTCCTGGACCGGTATAAGATGGTGGACGCAGTGCCGGCGAATATCCAGTATGCCAAGTCGTACGTGGATAAGCTCCAGGAAGTGGATGGTAAGATTCATATTGATGGCTGCAGTCCGTCGATTAGTTTAGTGGAAGGGCTTATTGGTTTAATTGTCATTATTGGTTGACCGATCGGTCGATCGGATGGTTGGTCTGTCAGACGGTTGTTTGGTTGGTTGGTATCAGTTGTTTAGTCGGTAGCTTGGTTCGGTGGGTACATTGCAGTTCGGTCATCCAGTTGGTTGATGCATGGCTAAGTATGTCTTGGTTCGGTCGGTCGTCGGTCAGTCAGTGGATCAGGTTTGTCCGATGGTTATTGCAGTGACTTGTTTAGGCAGTTGGTGGATAGTTTGGTACGTTGGTTGGTTGATCGGTGTTTCAGTATTAAAGTTTCACCATTAATTTTGGTGGTTTGTCAGGTTAGCCGGTTGGTTTAAGGGGGCCTCGTAGCCGAGCGGTTACAGCTTGGAGCTACGGAGTGGAAGGTTGGCGGTTCGAATCCCATTCGGACCAAAAACTGGAACACTCTCTCTGACAACCCAACAGTGAAAAAGATAGGCACCTGATTCGTACGGCCAGTAACGGCAATGGGACCTTTAGCTTTCCCTTACCAGTTGGTTGGTCAGTTAGCTGTTCGGTCAGTTGGTCAGTGGTAAAGTTGGTTTGTCAATTTTCCCGTTGGTCATTTGTCTGCTTCCATCTCTGGCCCATTGCACTTTCCATAATTTACATATTATTTGAGCGTGTGCCAGTGATCCTCAGTTTATAAATGTTCACGTGTTTGTGACATCATCTGCTTCGGATGTAGCATCACTCATTGCAAACACCGCAGGATTTGTAATTGGTGCGAATTTAGAGCTCGTATCTTGTCCCATCCTAGTCTCATAATTTCTTTTAGAGGGTTAAAGCAGAATTGCAAAAGGGAGGCTTATTTGTTCCCTTTTTTCAGCCACCAACATCAATGACGCCATTCTGGAAGGAGTCAACATGCTGAGACGAGAGGGCGAGAAAGTCCGCGGGGAGAAAGTCATCTCCATGCTGGTGTTATTGACGGACGGCGAGCCGACCTTCGGAGAGGTCGACAAGCGGGAGATCGAGCGCAATGTCCTGGACGCCATCAAGGGAGACTACTCGCTCTTCTGCCTGGCATTCGGAGAAGACGCAGACTTTGGGTTCCTGAACCGGTTGGCTCTTAACAACCACGGCGTGGCTCGGCGGATACCGGAGCGCGCCGACGCCAGCATCCTGCTTCAAGGATTCTACGATGAGGTAGCAACACCTCTGCTGTATGATCTCCAGTTCTACTTTTCCGAAGGCGTGGTGCCGAACACGCTGAGCGACCGGTTTTTCGCCAACTACTTCAACGGGTCTGAGATCGTGATCGTGGGGAGGTTGGATGAGAACCGGTTGGCCAATCACGTGTTGCGATCGTTCATGTACGGCAAGACTGCTGACAGGGAAGTGTCGTTGGCAGCGGACAGTAACACAGCTGTGAGTATAACATCGAATATCCTCTTCTTTTGTCTTGTCACAGAAGACGTTGTGAGTCACAACGCAATGTTACGAATTGACACAATCTGTATTGTTGTTGATCTCTGTTTACATAAAGGTATAAGTTCACGCTGTCTTTTTTTTAAACAATATTAATACTGTCTTAGAAGGTAAAAAAAAAACCGAATTATCAATACAGATTAAACAATTTTGGATCATTTTATATTGGGGAAACAAAAAGCCAAGGTTTGAATGGGCTTCCTCAAAATCAATAATGATGAAGTGTTTGCGTAATTTTAGCAAGTACGGATGTTCTGATGTAGTAGTTATACACAAACAAAATTATATAAGGTGTTCTGCCCTTGGTCAGGTCTTAGTTTAATAATGGATCAGTAAGGATATAGGAGAGAGATAATATTTTAATCTCCATTATTGAGCTCTCTATGGCTGTCTGTCTTTTGCAGAACATGATCTTATGATTTGATAGATTTACAAGTTATCAACTTGTAATGATACGATATTGGTTATCAACCTGTATTGATATACATTGTATGATATTAGTTATCAACCTGTAATTCCTTGTGCTTTATTACGCTAGAGTCAACATGTTCTTTGATTGTACGGCACAGTTCGGGAATTGTGCCCTCACTGTATCAGCTTGATGCAATAATTTACAACCTTAAAATTGCACTGGAGTTTATAAATGATCCAGAAGCAGTCGAGTGACGCAGAAAAGAAACTTGTATAAACCAATAAGCAATTATTTGTGTCTGTCTTGCGTAATAGGTGCCGGCTCGCGTCCTACTGGACCCGTCCATCCCACCCGATCTGATCGAGCGCATCTGGGCCTACGTCATGATCCAGACCCTGGAGCGCAAAAGGGACAGCTTCGAGAACCCCAACCCGGTCATTCAGCGCGACATCACCGATACTTCGCTCCGCTACGCCTACCTGAACCCCTACACGCGAATGACGGTGACCGAGAGCTTATCGGGTGCGCCGAGCGGGTCGGGCGCGGTGGGGTTGAGCGTCTGGGAGCGCCAGCTGCCCGTCGATGTCAGAGACGGTCTCAGTAAGGCGCTGACTGTCGTGCCAGATGTCGTCATCATTCCCGGCCCCGATGGCGGTATGTTTGGAAAATCAAATTGAACAAACGATATATGTATATATATCTTTATACATAATCTAAAGATTGTTAAAAGCAAATAGTAGATGGCGTGTGTGTCAAACAAGGAGTTCCCTTTTAGATCAAAATCACAGACAACTCACAGAGGTACATTGTGATTTCACATAAAAGTGTCGCATTGACTTCATCAGCAGTTCGCTCACAATAAAATCACAAATCTGTTCGCAATTCCGGTCACATGCAACAATCCTGCGCAATGCAAGCTTCCATTTTGTTCCAAGTTGTCCTTTCTGTCAAAATCAATAAAGTGACTGTTTTCCGTTTAAGAGCTCCTAGCCCTACCTAAAGCAGGATTGACTGGCTGTGACTGTTTATGTATAAACTGAACTTGATATGCTTTGACAGAGATTGATAAGACATATCTGGCTATCACTTGCCTGTTTTCGTCTGTTGACTGAATTCGACTTGTCAGAGAGCTTGCTTGAAATATGATCCGACTGTGAAATGGCAGGGGAAGTGGATGGAACTTTTGGACTGTCTGTGACTGTGCAAACAGTATAGTAGGAAGGTTACAGTGGAGGCAGTACAGTATCATGTGACTTGACTTTGGACTGAATAACTTGTAAGTTTGCTTACATGCGAGGACTTGTAAATCTATATAAGCAAAGTTAAATTTTCCTTTGTGTCTGGTAGGTGAAACCGGCAGTTTTCGGGTCTATGTATCTCTGTGCTTTGACATCAATGGTGGGGCTGGTGATGTCATCAGTTTAGTGAAGGATCGGGTTAAAGGTGAGCTAGTCTGAAAATAAATTGACAATGTATTGTCTGTTTTGCTGATCGTGAAGGATATTACAGTACTTAAAATGGAGAGATAATTTCAAGATATTTAATTTTGCTGGGTAACTTTCTCAATCAAGTTGTGTGCATGTATATTACAATGATATTTGACTAGACATTTGTTTAATATCTAGGTGTGTACATAAACGGCAAAATCATCACCAACCTCGTCCAAGAGCACGGTGTTCAAAAACAGGAGACGTACATCGGCGAGATCGGGGCCGTATTCTCCGGCCAGCGGCGAGACGCATCCCCCGTCAAGATACGGTTCACTCCGTCCCGGATCGTCGTCAACGCCAACCACACCATGCTGTGGGAGGCCCGAAGCACCCTGCGGCTCGGGGAGGTCTCGGTCAAGGTGGACCGACGAGCGGCTAGCGTCACGCTCCGGAAGGGCGTGGAATTTACCGTCACGCGGTACGAGGCCAATAGGGATAAGCCCAGCTTCCTGGGGTTCTATCTGAATGGCGGGGCCGAGCTGTCGACCAGCGCACGGGGACTCGTTGGTAAATATAAGCCAACATTTTGATCAATCCTTTTAAAATGTAATTTGAAGCTTTGGTGGAGAGTATAACGTGGGAGAAGGAATGCCGATACCCAATGTAAAGTGACAAACAGTGGTATTAATTCGACGTTTCGGTCGGTATGTTATGAACGTCTATATTATCTTAACCAAATCGCGGAGAAGGGCCTACTAGTCACTCCGATTGGCTTGTCCCTAAAATCTCCTCTAGCCTAGGTCTCGATCCCCCAACTCTTCTTTTCTGGCCGTTGAAGAGGTACTTGTGGACGGAGCCCATTAAGCAACACAAATTTCATCCACAGCTATTCACGTCTTACTTTGTCTCCAGGTCAGTTCAGACGAAGTGACTCGCAGATGTCCATAACCGACAGCCTACCGGGCGGTGCCAGTTTACAACCTTGCGGTCGGCAGCAGGGGGAGCCAGCCGCGCGAGGGCGCCCTGTCTTCAATGAAGCCGGAAAGAAGAAAGTCAACTGCTGGGTGGCGGCACACGTCGAAGCCGAGGAGGGGTTCATCGAGGGCCAGTACGGCCAGTATCTCATGTCTGATGTGTTTGGGGGTTTGTAGGTTCTGAACGGTGATGCAGACGCTCCTTTAAAATTCGCCATTTTTTTTCAAAGCTTGGTTCGTTTTGGCTTCGCTTTGATCACGTTGCTCTAACCCGTGCGCTAATTTCATACATTAATGTTGTCATTGAAACGCAAAGAATTGTGGGCATTTTATCGCCTCATCACTCCGTGCGCATGCGTATTGTCCCGGGTCATTGTTGGAAACTTGTCATAGAAATATAAGAGCTACCGATATATCAGAGAGTTCCTCCAAAATATGTTTTAACAGTTGGAGAAATCATGATAGTGAGACTGTAATAGTCTAAGTGGATGTAATCACGTCAGATAGGATAATGAAATACTGCATATCTGCGGACCTCTGTGTACTTTCATTTTGTTTTCACAAATTGACTATTTCACTGAATCTTGTTGCAGATTGTATAATATTAATAGGCTTAATGCAGAGGCTGTGTTTTGTTTCTTTTCCTAAACAAATACATAAAAATGTATTCCGCGAATTAATACTTGCTTGTGTTTAAAAAAAAAGAAAAAAAAGAAGAAGTTATGTGCTAGCCAAGCAGTCAGGGATCGGATGCGCGCATAACAATGAACCCATGCCAATCCCTTATAAGACTCTTCTGGGATCTCGGGGGTCCCTGCCTACACACTTGCTTCCCTATCCATCCATATAGCCCCACAGGGCCAGGCACCATGTAAAAGCAAAGAGCTAAGGGGGGAACAGGGCGGCACCCTATGCCCTGATCCTCCGAGTGGACCACATGCCTTGAACGTATACGAAGATGCACAATTAACCTGGACTTCGCAGACAGTCCCAGCAGCAGTGCTTACCGATTAAGCTAAGGTATACTGTTGGTGTTTTAGGACGGGAAATTAAATCCTTTATAGAAAGCGTCGGACAGCTAATGTTGAAAACTAAAATGACATATGCGGGATCGAAGCACCGATCCTCCACCCGTCGGTCAGCAATTTAACCACTAGGCCATTTCCCTAGATACAATTACATTCGAATTTAAAACCTAAGAACCATTTACTGTGTTCTTATTGATCTGGTCGTTGAATTGGTTTCAATTGTTCACGGGTTATTTTGTCTTGCGTTCTGTTAATTGCGTAAATGCATTGTGTGTGCGTGTGTTTCAAATGCCCATAAACTGCAGTTCCTCTTTGTTGCTCTAGATTTCTTTGAATTAAGCAAACCCCGCCCCAATCCCCCCCCCGCCAATGCGGACATCAGTCACTATATATGTCCTAATCTCAGCTCAATAAGCTTCAGATAAAACCTTAAGTCCGACATTTCGGACTTGTGAGGCGTTGGACCTATCAGGCGTCGGACTTATGACTCGGACGCCGAACATCTTCATGCCATTCTGTCACGTCTATAATGTGCCTTTTGCATAATCCAGGCCTGGTAAAGACGAATACTCTCGACCCGCTGACTAAAGACGGTGAAACTTTGAAATTGAATGGTAAATGACTAATTTAACTGGTTTTGTTAAAACGTGTAACACTTTTCTCGGACGAAGTTGAATGTTAAGAGTAGGTGAATTTGAATGAAAAATGTTTTAAAATAGCCGGGAAAACATACTTCCTGTTCTATATTTGCAACTAAGTTTGTTTTATTTTATATTGTACACATGGTACATGTAGATAGTTGAGTATCTAAAAAAATTATCCATTTTTTAAATTTTACAATCTAATACACAAAGTGTTTATTAGAGGCGATTAGTGCAGTCATCAGTTATCGCAAATTATACGCAAAGATGTTTATAACATACTTGTTTGTTATTGATGAAAGTTCAGGATATTGTAATATTGTCGTAACAATCCATATTTTGTTATCAACATTTTACCGTGGCCATGCGGGTCTCTACCTGCCAAGAAGCAGTGACTGGAATAAATAATCTCACTGACGTCCTGGCTGACTCTAAAAAAAAAACCACACGGTTCAGACTGTATTATACATTCTATGAGTGGGCTTAAGTTATGCGTATTTAACGTGAATTGATTTTGCTTCAAAAGGAATTCATAATTCGTTCACTGACAAGCGAATTTCCATTTCGCAAAATTCCAATCATATTTCGCTTGGGTTCATCATAGTTCACTGCAGTCCATCCTTTAAAACGATCGCAATTCAATCATTTTCCTGACTTTGAAGCGTAACCAACTATTGACGCAACCATTCGAAACTTTAAAAAAATTCGTTCCAATGAACGCGGCAGCAAGAATGCTACAACAAAGAGTGCCATTTAAAAACTGTTTTACCTTTTTACGGGCGCCGGGTCACGGTCACACTTCACCGGTGATTGATGGTATTTCACCCGCGGGTACGGTGCGAGAAAACAACTAAAACCCACCCCACAACAAAAGCTAGAGGACACTCCTTGGATCGCGCACACGAAGGCTGAACAATGACCGCGCGGCTGGCCTTTTTGTGTGGCTTTTCATTGTTCCTGCATGCTTGGCCGACTGCCGGGTATTCCAGGTAATGGAGGCTGATTAAACAATCGCCCCCCCCCCTCCCTCTTGAAAATTGTTATAAACAAGCGCGTAAGTCTCATTTGAAGTCCAGCTAAGAAGATTGGTAAAAAAGGAGTTTTTTCCTTTGGTGTCATAATAGTCAGGTGGCATATGGTCGGAATCGTGACCGACTGTTCCAAAGCAATTGGCAGATAGATTCATATAGCCCCCTAAACTAAAGAAGATATGAAGGGGTAACACCTGAAATTAGTTTTTGGAAGGGTATTTTTGGGAATTATACTTACATAATCCTTGTTTCAATAACATTTCATAAGTGAATGGATAATTATGAGGACACGAAAGATCCAAAAGTGGCTACAATTATTACCATAACGTTCATCTCATTTACCTTTGCCCTATCATCAAGTACAGTCTTGCCAAACCTCATCATTATTTATGAGCTTACAATTCATAAAAGTTACTAATTGGGCTAAACATTAGGCGAAAGGTTGCCTTACGTCCGTGGGGGTCTTGAACAAATTAAAAGAAGTCCCCCAAAGTAAGAGATTATGATGGTTATTATGGCGAATCCCAGCAAGTTAGCAACTGAATTTGAAGATCATCAATGCTGAGGTTTGGCAAGACAATACTTGGTGATTCTATAGTGGCAGCCATTTTGGATCTTTCATGTGTCATCATATTTATCCAGTCACTTATATGTTTCATAAAATGTTGTTAAAGTAAGGATGTGTAACTAAAATCCCCAGAATGGATTTTTCAAAAAAATAAAGAAAATCAAAAAATACCAAAATACGGGAATACAATTTTAATAACAGCTGCTATTACAAATTATAAGCACCCCTTCTAAAAGAATTTCAGGTGTCACTCAAGGGCGGATCTGGGGGGGGGGGGGGCAACGCCCCCCCCCCCCCAAGAAAACCACCGAACCCAATGTTTTTAAGAGACGTCGCCATAAAAGCGGGCACTGCGTACACCACTTTCTTTTCCTTAAAATAATTTGGTTAAAATTCTCAGAAATTGCCTCAGATCCCACCACAGAGCATTTTGAATCCCCATTGCGGGGCCCTAAAATGGGCCCCTCGCCGTAATTTTTTTGGACCCTCTTTTTTGGGGGCCAAACTTTTTGGTGCCCCCCAAATATCGTGTTCTTGGCCCCGCCCACCCCTCCTAAAAATCTTCTTTAGGGCTATACGAATCTATCTGCCAGATTTAGTGCTTTGGACCAGTCGGGCATGATCTTGTCAAAAAATGGATCTAAGCCACTTGGCTATAAAAAGGCCTAAAGTCGTTCGACGATTCAAAGACTAATTTTTGTGCAGTAAATGGTGCAGAGGGAGTAAGGGCGCCAACTGGAACAGCCAGTTTCACCTGTACCGGTCTTTGATGACACGTTGTTTCGTAGTAAATGTATTTTATGAATGTAACATTTTTGAGGTGTGAAATTGCTTAAACGGGTCATGACTGTGATAAAGTGAACACTCTGCATGCACCGGTCCGTGTGGACAGAAGGGACTAAATCATTTGCTCTTAAGATATGCAATTGGAGAATTTGGAGCTGGTGTGTTGTTATTGTTTGACTTGGGAGCTTAATCCGTAGACGACTGCTCCGTGGCAGTCTTGTAAGTCTATATAAACAGTGCACGCATGAGAGGGCGCAGTGACCCGGCTTAAGTTTATTGTGGCCAAGTTGTCACAGAATCGTGGATCAGAGCGTTGACTTTTCGGTACCGTGGAATCACTGTACACGAAAACACAGTTTTGTAACAGTTTCATACGGTTCTCCAACATCTTGGTTACAACCTAAAGGAATCACAAGGAAATAGTCTGTTGTAGTGATGAGACGAATTGGCATGACGGCCATCGGAGTTGTGGGAGTGTTCCTACTATCGAGCATCATCCCGTTGGGTCTAGCTGCGCCGTCGGCCGGCAAGGAATGGACGGTCACCGCCAGTAAACACTCCCAGCAGTACGAGGTAGGTTGATGTTGCCTATACCCCTAGAACTATGGGTCTTGTTACACACCCATACTTCTAGGGGTAATAACACTTGATACCACGTGAATGATACTTCACTATAAAGTAGGATCATTGAAGAAGGAAACAATTCAATTGAATGATATACACGTACGTAGAGGTAAAATACCGTCAGCATCTTCATTTGTAATTTTCAAGGAAGACACACACTTTTTATCTGTATAGGGAAAGATTCCCATATCTCGCCAACACTTGTCGCGCTGTGCACAAACCCTATGAGACTGGTCTGAAAATTTCTTGGTGTTTTCTTGGTAAACTTGGTAAATACTTCAATATTTTATGCTAAATTTTTCTTTTTTAGGGCATATCACTTTCTGATGGCTGATAGATCACTAATGGGAAAAAAAATGAGTGATGGCCAGATATGGGAATCTTTCCGATACTTCTCTATAAAGTAGAATCATAGAGGAAGGATCCAATTGAAAGATATATGGAAAGATTCCCATATCTTGCCATCACTTGTCACCCTGAATTCAATTGGTACAATGTACATGTATGTCTGTTTTCTGTTTAATTACTTAAAAGTTAAATTTTGTAATCTGCAGACTTTTAACATAAAATAAAAAGAATGCTTTTAAATGGTAACAATGACCATAAAATAAAACTATAAATCTGTCATATTCCACGATGTGTTTATTGAGTTTACTTCAGTTAGATTTAAAATAATATTGTTCAATGAAGATACATGTAATTGCTCTGATAGTGGCAAAGAGTGAAATCACCAAAAAGCAGCTTGACAGTGGTTTCAGACCGAAATACTGACAAAATTTGAACAAAATTCAAAACAAAACGATCAGTAACAACTCCTACCCTTGATCTGAATGATAAAAAAAAACAATGGTCACGCTAATCTGTTTTCCAATAGATCACATCTTCAGTCATTTCATAATTTACTCATAGTCATGTTTGATAGGCTGCAACTTAAGACTACAGGAGTTCTTCATCTAATAAGTTGTTGTTAAAGAAATCCTTGTTCAAGTTCCTCAACTGAGGAAAGAATTTATTTCGATAAATGAAGCACAAATTCCACAAAGAAGAATCTGTTTATCTTTAAACACATACTTTCCTTACTTTCAACAAAATCTATTACTACTATTTCTGAAACATTGGTATAAATAGTTCAATTTATCAAGAAAATTGCGTAACACTTCATCAATAATTTTTTATCCAAAATATGGAATTTGAAAAAGAAAAGAGAAACTGTAGCACATCTATTTTACACGCACATTACATTGTATTGTACGGAGTGTCAAAGTAAAAATAACGTTCTTCATTCGTAATTTTTTAACAAAAAGTCGGTTTTCTAAACCTTTTTCTTTTCAATTTTCTCCCTGCAGTATCAAAGTTACAACAATCTAACCCCTCAGAAACACAACCACACTTTAAAAAGAGGATACAGTGATTTAAGAAGATCCATGTCACATGGGTCAAAATCAAGGCACAAAACTCCTTTTTGTAGCAAAATAGTTTTTGATGTTTTGTTACATGGAACTCTACTGTAAGGAATGCACTTGTACTGGTCTTGACTTCTTTTTCAACCAGTCAATACAAGGTAAATACAGGCAGTCAGAGAAAGGCCAAGTTGGACAAAGCGAACAAAACTTTCCGTAGAAGGCTACAGGCTGATTTTTGTGTGTGTGTACACAGTGGGGATTATTGTCCAATGGTGTTAGATTTCCAGCACTCACAGACTTAACTTGCCCTTGCAGTTTGATCAATGAAAAGTTTTACAGTAATGGAACGGGATTAAATAAAATGACCACACAGACTGATAGCCGTGTCTTTAAACCCGGTTTAACACTACACACCATTGGCAAACGAATGTATCAGGGTGCATGGGGGAGGGGGGGGGGGGAGGGGGGTGGATAGAGACAAAAAAGGGGAGCTGAATAAGCCTTCCCTGTTTTTGCTGGAATACACCAATTTATGGCCTAATACGTGCCTTGGAAAAGTGTGGTTCTAGAATGCGGTCTGTATAAATCCAAATACCTCGAAGATGCAACCCCTGTGCTATTTTCAAGTTTCACCTCGGAAAATAGATTTGTTTTTGTTTTTAAGGGAAAGAACAACATTTGTTTTTGCTGTTATTTTCAGAATAAGATGGATTTAAGAGTTAGTAATATAGTAAGAATTGTTATGCTGACTTGTTTGACGTTTTGGGTTCGTACATGTAGATGCTGGAAAAACCAAGAAAAGCAATTATGTTCTTGCAGTCTGGTTCCCTGACCCGACTTAAGAAAGAAACAGCAATGTGTAGATGTCTGAAAGTTGTAGAGTCAGGGAATCAGTCTAGCCAGCTTGTACCTGTTCACAGGTGTGTAATCGTTTGCAAAGAAAATGCGGACTTAACTAAATTTGATAAATCAGGAGCAGTATTCGAAAAAAAAACCTTTTTTTTTTCCAACGCAGGTCGGCCGACCAGCGTTGGAAATTGATTAAAAAATACCACTTTTCTCGAAAATTTTCTTGAAAATGTCAGCACATCAGGTGCCATAATTTTACAGGATGTTTCCAGTCCAGTAAGGTATTTTGTGATAATTCTGTATTTTTTTTTTTTAGGCTTGCAAATGTTGTATATTCCCTTTAACGATTGTTATTTTCTTAGAAAAAAAACAAACAAAGTTATTCGCTTTTCATGAGACGCTGAACAAAAACCCACCGACGTTTAGTTATTTAATTAGATCTTCAAAAAAAGATCGAACCTAAAGTAGCATTTTCATTCACACAAAACATACATGTAGGCTACAAATTGAAAATTAGTGAAGAGAAAAAATGCGTTTTTTCAAGAGCTTAGAATATCTTTAAGGTGTAGCTACATGTACTTTAAAAAAATCAGCTATATAGAAACATTTGTACATGTATACTGTAATAAATTTCTGGATCTGCGCTGTACATCATACACGCGTACATGTAAACTTGTACCGGTACAATTTATAGTGCAAGTAACAACCTTCCATTCCAACCTTCCATAAAGCCACAATGTTCATGGCGAACTTACTCTGTTAAAATGTTGTTCTCTTATTAGCATGATAAGAGAACATGGTGGATATTTTATGAGTACAAGTGGATGAGTATGCATTGTACAGTGCTTGTATACGTCAATGAAGAACCAAAAATGCATGGAATGTACATATGTCATGTATGTAGGCCTACATGTATACACATGTACTTGATTTTGTCCTTTGCATCCAGTGTCTTATGTTCATTATGTAAAAGTGCACGGATAAAAGCTTATGAACCAGATTATATTTACCGCGGCCAGTAGGCTGTACGTCTATAAGCATGAAATGTCAAAGTAAGTGCATCCTACAGTTTCAGTGAGGTACCCAGGGTCGATCTCGTCACGCTTGGCATTGTTGAGCTCGCACACTGCACCGTCTGCACCCTGACCCGCCCACATGTTGAAGGACCGACAGATGGGATGGTCTGCACACCTACACGCACAGGCCATCAGCCCGGTTGTGGGATTCTCTTCTAAGGCATGACCGGCCAGGCAGTGATTGACCAGCGGCCGTCCAGATTCGTCCAGCGGGATGCAGAAGGCAGCATTTACGGCGGGAACCGGCGAACCGCATCCTTCTTCGCGTGGGCGCTCGCAGACTATGTGTATCCTTTTGGCACCTTCCCTCGCGTCACCCCACAAGCCAGCAATGTACTTGCCTGGCTTGTAGTTGCGAGTGATGAAGAAGGCCCAGTCCTGGACTTGAGGATGGGTATCATCGTCTGGTTGATCTGGCTCCCAATTGCGGTAGGACACATTGGTAGTACCAGCCTCTGAGCACACCCACTCCCCTTCACGGTATGTATCAGTGCAGTGGATCCAAAATCCGAAGGAATTCCTCCCCTGCTTGTCAAGGAAAGAGGCATTCAAGAAACTGTTTTCTCCTTCCGAGCTTGGCACGACCATGAAGCCGCCCCTGGCGATGCATGTCTGCACTGCCATGGACCAGTTACCGACAAGAGAGCCATCAAGGCCCAGGTAGCAGGAGCCAGCCCACGGTATCCAGTCGGCTGGGCATCCGGCAGCAGAGCACACACCAGCAAGTACAAACGTGACAAACAAAACGATGCAGAGCAAACACAATCTAACTTCTGATGGTGCCATTGCTCGTTGGTTAATATATAGTTTTAAGATCACTTACCAAATGTAAGTGATATTCAGTGTTGGCTCTCTCGACTCGAGCTCTCTTCTGAATGATGAATGAAATGTTTGCCATCTGTATTTTGTTCAACTTTTATTTCTGGTGACTGAGGGAGGGTACTTAGAAAAACCTAATTGTGCAATTAGGGCCTACACCTAATGGCTCTAATGACTCTAATGGAGCATCGGTTTAATGATAATCTATATTGCCTGTTTAGTAATCATCCAACTTGCCTGTTTTCATGGCAACCTTTCCCAAGCTCTCCTTACATCAGCAGTCTAATTGTCTAAGCTACTATAATTGTGTCCATTAGAGGGCCATTATAAACAGCTATGTTGTTTTTTTAAGCTGAGAGACACTTTGAAAAAAGTGGGTATTAAAAATACACATTATTTAAGTTTAAGTCACCCTCCATGCACGTATTGCCCTTTTTTGGGGGGAGGGGAGGGGGAGGGGGATTCGTGGTTTACCAATTTCTTAACCAATTTCCAGTGGCTTGTAGGCTTTGCCATTTTGAAGAGTATTTTGGTGCCTTTTTGGTGTTTATGCTAATGTGAATTTCCATATTCATGAGCAACACGCTGGTAACGTTCTGGGCAGAGACCTCAATGTAACAGCTATATGTAAGCACAAAAAGTTGGGGGAGAGACAAGTGGAGCTGAATAATACCCCATCCCTAATTTTGCTTGATATTTACCCTCTTAAAGGGCCTATTATCCTATACTGCCTGGTAAAAGTGTGGTTCTAGAATGGGTACTATAGGCCTACAAATCCGGTTGCCCTGTGCTATGTTCGAGT